CTATTGGTATTGCCATGCTAAGAAGAGAAAGTGTGCAAGCTGCTCTGGCCACCTCTGCTTTTGTGTGTGTCTACTTGTCCCGCTTTTGCATAGCCTTTGGGCTCATGGAGGGGAGTTACGCAGATACACATCCCAAATCTTCAAAACACTCCCTGCTCCTTTTAGGCTGATACTCAGAGTAAGTATTATTTCCTTTATTCTGCTACACTCTTCTGTCCTTGCAAAACAGACAGGCTTAGATCCCCTCAGGAATGGTATTCCGCGGGGTTCTCTTTCTTTCCTTTTGTTTTGGAAGGGAGGTTGGTGGTGGAATAGATGATATTTAAAGCCCAAATATGTCCTTTGAAATGTCATTTCCACTCAAACTGATTCCTACTTTTTCTTAAATCTCTGATGGCAGACTTAGTGGTGTGATTTCAAGGTAACTTTGATTCGCAATCATTTAAACATTTTGAGTTGTGAAAGAAACATATTGGGAAAGGTAAATCCAGTTAACAATACACGTGTTAGAATAACATAGCTTTGAAGATCAAGGGCTCTGTCATCCCCATCCTCACGTGTTTAATGTATCTAGTCAATTCCGCTGGTAATTCACAACAGGATTATAATGGGGAAATGCTCACCAGGTGGATGATTTACAGATTTCTGGTTCTCTGGTGCCACCTACTGAAATATTTCTAAAGAAAAAAAAAGGCATGAAAATTGTGTAACCAGAAGAGTAGAGGATTCTGTAACACATAGACACACTGAGTAGAGTTTGTCCTCTTTGTGTTTGTGTGTGTCTGTGTCTGTGTATACTAGTTGTGTTTACAATTTTTTAAAAAAGACTTTAAAATCCATAGTTTTAGAAAAGTGATTTTCTTCTACTTTACTGTCATCTACCTGTACAAGCACTGTTTTAATTTATATGGCTACTTCATGTTTTTTTCTTCACCTATTGTTATTTCTTCTAAATTCTGTTCATATATATATATATATATATATATACACACACACAAACACACACATACACACACACACACATGATGCTACTTTTACTAACATTGGCATCCTATTTGCACTGATTATGAGCCACTTTGCAAAGGTTTTATTTCTTAACACCAGATGTATCGACAATAGATGCAATAGATGATTTCCTTTTGGTGGATAGTGCTGTCGATACAGAGGGAGTAGATCAGAATGATACCTTGACTCCCTTGATCTGCATGGCCCCAGCAGGTTACTCTGTGACCCTGTAATCAGTCAAATGAGAAGGCCGTGTGCTAACTAAATATCCCCCTACCCAGTCATTTCAGGTTTCTCTGTGTAGCAATAAGGATCTTGGATGGCTACATCTACTTATGATCTTGGTGATAATCTATTAAGGTAATTTAGAAAGAATTCCAGAAACATGACAGACACAGCTCTCACTGTTTTAGATTTTAAGTAGCACAACTCCTATAAATATTGATGTGAAGCCCTTCACCTTCCAGAGTATTTGATATGTAAAGTATCCACAGAGGTAGCAGTTAGTATATGCAAACGATCTTAAATAACATGGGCGTGGACGGTCTTCAGATAGTGGCTTTATAACTAGGCTATTTCTGCAGGGCAACTTTACTGCATCCTTACTTTAAGATTTGTGATGTTTCTTTTGTGTTTTTCCTTTGACAGGGGAATATCTGGGAGATATTTATGTGTACTTTGAATCTTTACTGCGGAGGAGAATTCATAGTTTCTTGACATGATTAGTTTATACTCTAGATGATTTTTTTTTTAAAGAAAAAACTTATTTGGAGTTATTTTTAAAAGATATTTTTGACAGGTTAATTTTTTTCCATGCTGTTTATCATGCTGTATAAGAGTGCTACTGGTATTGAAAATCTACCTGGAAGGATTTTGTAAACAAAACAAGTAATTCTGGTCTTACACTGGCTCTAAACAGTAGTTCTGAAGTACTGGAATTTTTTTTTCAAATAAGGTTAAGGTGTGTGTGTGTGTGTGTGTGAGCTGTCTGTCTGTCTGACTCTGTATCTATGTCTCTGTGTAATATTTTGTAAACAAAAGGTAATGGCTCAGTCATGAAAATGCTAGCCTTGCAAGCATAAAGACCCGAGTCCAGATTCCTAGCAGCCATGTTAAACAAATAATCAAACAAGTTGAATGCAGTGGCATTCATTCACCTTTAGAAGACAGAGACAGCAGGCTTCTTGGACTTGATGACCACCAAACTAGCTGAATCAATGAACGCTAGGTTCAGTGGGGGACTCTGTCTCCAAAAATAAGGGAGAGTGATTACCATTGACTACTGGCCTCCATCGACACATGTACACATTTGTGACTGTGCACACATGCACACATACATACACTGCTCCCCCAATTCATGCAAAGGTGACTTCATACATTCATTGTTCACTACATTCATTGTTCACTACATTCATTGTTCACTTTTTATCATAAACATATGATAAGTTGTAAGTTTATAGTCTTTTATCAAATGCTTTTGCTTAGTATTACACGATTTGGTGGCAACAAGTAAATTCATACCATGAAGTAGAGGTGTCTCCCAAATGAGTGGTAGAGTCAGTATAACTTACTCTAATGCCCCTTTCCTCTATGACCAAAGACACTATTGGTTTGTTTCTTCGCATTCATTGATCCTGTGGTTTCTGTCACCTTCAGAAAAGCATCCAATCCCTTGTCAGGATCTCCAACATCTACATCTCAGTTTATGTCTGAAGACTGTCATCTGATGGCTTTGGCTTCTCCTTTATGTATAATCTGTGTTCAAAGTCATCCAAGCAAAGATTATGCTAACACTGAGTACCTAGTAAATAATACATACCTGCAATACAGTAGCTTCTCCTTCCCCTCTGCATTATTCTGTAGAGTTTTTGCCAACTGTTAATTATCAGTTTACACAGGGAAGGTATATTACTTAAATGTTTGTTCAGATTACCAGATGCATTTGTCCTTCACATTGCTGACTTCTCAGGGGAGGTTCATGCCTTTATCATGCTCAACTTCACTTCTCTAACAGCAGACCAACAAAACAGTAGCTACTTCCTAAACTTAAGTGAATAAAACAGTGTGAAACTCCAGGGAACCATGTGATGCTACTGAGAAGGGGTGTATCAAACTCTCTCTAGATGTTCAAAAGTGTCTCACGAGAGAATAAGAAGAAACTGTTTTGCTATAGTTTCAAAGCAACATGAACATTTTAATCTTGTTGATACACTATGTTCCTCACAATGACTACAAGTTATTTTCATCTTATTTTAAATATGATCTATTAATTACTGATATAATTATACTTTATTTCTTCTCATTATCTCTTTTGCAAACCAACATAATTCTTAAAGGTTAATTTGGAAGGAAATTAGAATGGATCAGAGGACAGGAATGCTCTTAAGAGGAATATATAAAAACAGATGGAATAAAAAGTACTACCTGACTAGCCAAAGAAATGGGGCGGTGTGTCAAATAATGTTTTCAAAACAATACAGTCACGCACCACATACTGATGTCACAGTCATGAATGGACCTTAGTTCTGCCACCTGCTGACATTATAGCCATTTTGAGTTGTGAAAATATACTCTATGATGATTATTAGTGTTATTAGCATAATGGCAACATCACTTCATGATGCATGGCTCAAAAGATTTGCCTATTGATAAGCAATACTCAACAGTACTTAAGTATGAATGATCAAAAGAAAAAAGACAGAAAGAAGCATTAGTATCATATATATATATGTATATATATATATATATGTGTGTGTGTGTGTGTGTGTATGTATGTATGTATGTATATGTATATATACACATATAATTACAGCTATATGTAAAACAAATACATACCTTTGATGATACTTCTGAAGGGAGAAGAGTTTTTCAGACTTACTCTACTTAAAAAAGCAAGATACCTTGACGGGAAGCTACCTTAATTACTGGCCAATCTCTTCTTCCTTTTGAAGACTAGATGGCACTAGTCTATCTCTTCGAAAATAACTTTCTACTGTTTTTTTGTTTGTCATTTAGTAAGAAGGATGAGGAAGCCTCTTTTTTGAATTTTTAAAATTAATTGTTTTATTTATTTACATCCCAAATGTTGTCTCCCTTCCTGTCCCCCCCTCCCAGAGTCTGTTTCTTCACTGTGGACTGGACCCAGCTCCCACAAACTCTCACAGCTTGCCTGTGGTACCCAGCGTGTGAGCTCATGACAGACCGTTCTGATCCGTGTCATTGGCACACAATTTCAGAGAAGCCTTTCTCAAAACAGTCTCCATTCATCTCTTTCCTCTGATGGGGAGTACTTCATCAGCTTTGCCAGCTTTCTTCTGACATTCATTTAACCCCTGCATTCTGTCTTAGACTCTTGTTTAGGCTACAGCGTCCATCTGTGTTTTAGGCATGTGCAGCAGGAGCTCTCGCGTCTCCACACAACTGCTTCTGAAATATGCAATCAGCAGCCATTCAAACTCGACTCTTTCCCTTGAGATGTTTCCTCTTTTAATTCAATCAGCATACTCTACCAATGACACTTTCTTATTGAGAGTATCATCACGATCTCTCTCTCTCTCTCTCTCTCTCTCTCTCTCTCTCTCTGCCCACGTGCACACACACACACATACACACACACACGCATGCACATTTCTGCTATCCTTTGCATTTTTTTTGCTTTTAACTTAGTTTCATCTTGTGTTCATTTACAAAAATATTGATTTAAGTTTCAAAATTTTTCTACAGCCCTCCCATCAAAGACATTGCTTTAGGCTGACTCCAAATTGTCAGCCCCCACCACAGCTTCTTATTACTTTAGGACATCTTAAATCCATTAGGTCAGCCTGTAGCTGTCTTCAAAACATCAAAACACTAACAGAAAAAAAGTTGGGAACTTGGTTTCATTGAGATGACATGTGCTGAAAATAAATATGTATAAAGTATATGATGTATACTTACATGTATGCTTTAAATCTGAAACTTTCTAAATGTATATTTAATTTTCCTTTTTTTTTCAGGGCAAGTAACAATGGCACCCAGCACTGGTAAGAATTAATATTTGACCTTTAATGTTTAATTTTTGTTATGACAATCATGTAGTTAATATAGATATAATTTTATGTTTATTCAGAAAGAAGTTTAAAGATGAAAGTTTATAATAGTGTACGGTTCCTGTCACTGTCACATGTTCTTAAAATTTCTTCTAATATTAAATTTAGTGACTAGTTGAACATACTTTAAATTACATAATTTTTATGCTTAATTTAAACTTTAACATTTCTTTAAATTGACAATAAATGGCATAGCGAGTTTCTAATCCCTTTAAAAAATTTAACACTGTAAATAGATTTTGAAAATCTGTATTTTCTCAGCATGGGTTAAGATTTGAATATAGAGAAAAAACTGTGATCAGAATATATCGTATAAAAATATTTTTAATAAAGAGAATCGAATTAGAAATTTAGTGGGTAGCCTAAAAACAATGTCACATTTATTTAAAGAAGAATGAATTATATAAATTAATTTGATCTAGAATTTGCTTATATCTAGATTTTAATATATGTTTCCTTTTAGTTATTTTATAATTTTAAGAGTAATTTGCCCTTCTTTAAATTATGCTTGGGGAAGTGATATTAGGACTTTATATTAATAGTTTATAAATTTTCCTAGTATAATTCAACTAATTTTTTTCTAAAAGCTTTTGAGAAAAGCAAATGTAAATAATGATGACATTGCCAGTGTGTTAAAATTCCTTAAACCCCAAATCATAGAGGAATTGACCTGCAGGTGGGTAAAGAGAAATTTAATCCCTGATTGTTGCTGTTGCTGTAAATGTTTGTTTCCTGACTAATCATGTGGTTGACAGCATGTCTTAAGAAGGTAAGTGAGACCATAAACTATGACTGTTTTAATATCTTAAGTGCACATTTCAAGGGGAGCAAATATGATACTCTAAATTAGATTATCATAAGAATTATTTGTCATTAAATGAAAGTTTATTCTGAATTCTAACACTCTATGCAGATACTAACAAATCCCACTCCAGAGCTTTATAAAAACACATTCTTTTATTTTTCAATGTCTAATAATGGAATTGTATAGTTTTATTATATGACAGAGAGGATTGATTGTATTTTACTGTATGGCAGAGCAGGTTGTGATTGTTTCATGCCAACTTCTTAAATGAAATTTGGCATTTTCCTTCACAAAGTACTAAGTTACTCTCGACCTACATAAATAAGACATTGTGACAGAAGGGGCAGTTAAGGGATTGAATGGTATCTCATTCTTTTACCTTGTTGAGAATTAAGTTAGAACTCTGGCATATAATTCAAAGAGGAATGGTGTACCCAAATATCACCAATGAGAAGGTAGTCAGTGCAAAATGCAGAATGTTCAAAGTGAGGTTTCAGGGACAGTAGAGAATTGGTAAATTTACCATCATAAAATTTACTAGTGATACTTGAACTTCTACATGAGAGACTTCTCTGAAGATTCTTCTTCATACACCAAGGACTGAATTTGCTTTGCAGGAAAACGTCTTGAGGAATCACACTCTTCAAAGAAGCATATGTTTTTAACACTGAGGGTTCAAAGCAATGCTTCCAAAGCTTTTTGTGACTAGTCTACTCAATGGGAGTGTCGGTGTGGATGATGGACAGTTTGCTGCAATGTTTGCTCAGGCCAAGAGACCATTGCAACCTTTCCGTTTAGTTGATCTAACCTAAAAATAAATTGTCATTTGTGACAAGGGCACTGAGTTAACACTGAGTACACAGGATTTGAAATCCCTCCTTCCACTTCTTTTCTTTCTCTCTCTGTTTTTCTGTCCCCTACTTCCTTCCTTTAAAAAAAAAAAATAAGCCAGGCAGTGGTGGCATGAGCCTTTAATCCCAGCACTTGGGAGGCAGAAACAGGCAGATTTCTGAGTTCAAGGCCAGCCTGGTCTACAGAGTGAGTTCCAGGACAGCCAGGGCTTTAAAGAGAAACCCTGTCTTGAAAAAACAAAACAAAAACAAACAAACAAACAAAAAAGGTCTTCCTTTTTATTCAATGTGTAGTGGGTGAGAGACAATTAGATTAGAATAGTGACCCTGAATATGAGAGGTATGTCTTACCTCTAGTTCAATTTGCAAAGGTTGTTTTAATCTTTATTTGGGAAAATACACCTAGTTTTGATTAAGTAAATATTTAAAAATTCCATATTTTAATACTCAAACACATTAATACACATTAAGCAAAGGGCAACTAAAAATACCATCCCTAATAATCCCTGAGAGAATATGATGATTTTAAAAACTAAATTGGGGGACTTAGGAGATGGCTCAGTGGATAAGAGAACTGGCTACTCTTCCAGAAGTCCTGAGTTTAGTTCCCAGCAACCACATAGTGGCTTACAACCATCTATAAGGGGAGCTCATGCCCTCTTCTGGCAATCAAGTATACATGTAGATAGACCATTCATATACATAAAGTTAATAACTAAAAAAAAACCTCTAAATTTGTTTTATTTCTCTTTTTCACAAAAATAAAAACACTTTAAATAAAGGAAAACAGAGAAGTGTTTGATTTACCACATTGTGCTAACTCCCTGCAGACAGCACCCAGAGTACATACCCATACTCACTGAACAGGATTATCATTCAGTTTCTCCTGACTCATCCCTTCTTTAGAACAATAAGTTAGAACAAGTTTATTTCAGTACCATATGTCTCTGATTATAAAGGCAAACACATTTTCATAGTTTCATAAGAGTGAGAGTGTTCACTCACACTTCAGTTTGTGAATTTGCTTTCCAGACTTTACTCAAAGAACTCTCCTTTGATTGATTGACTTATTTTTGAACCTACACATATATGAAATCTTGTTTTTTTGACAGGAGCTCCTTATGTAGTCCAAGCTGCCTAGAACTTGCAGTCAGCCCTGAGAGCTTGAGCTGCAAACACGACCCATACACCTGATTCAGCCAGATGTTTTCTTCTCTTTTCCTTTCCTTTCCTTTCCTTTCTTTTCCCACTTGGAATTCTAAGCCTTCTAATGTTTCATTTCAGGCTTTCTCCTTCTCCACTATTGCTTGTAGTCTGTAAGTCTTTTCAACTTTCCTTTAGACATAATGCTCATTGGGTTTCATTTTTCTGACTCCAGTTGGTTTGGGTAGCTATCCAATGATTACATTGGAAGAGAACTAAGGGGAGCTGCTTCCCAGTCAATTTTCTCAACTCTATTTTAAACTTTTATTATATAATTTTTATCTATATATGCATACATAGTTAAAAATCTATAGACATATGTATATATATATGTCTGTGTGTTTATATCCCTATGGGTCAATGAATATGAGTATATGTGCATATGTATGTGTACCTGAGTATAGTTATCTATCTATATATATATTTCTCTGTGTATATATCTATATGTATGTACATATATAAGTATGTGTGTGTAAATATGTATGTATGTGTGCATGTATATTTGTGTATGTGTGTGTTTGTGCATATGTGTTCAGGTGGGGAAATAGGCATGCACACTCGATAGCATAAAACCTTGGTATCTGTGTGTGGGGTTGGGAAGTTGTACATGAACATGTGTCTTAATGGACATTATTGGGACATGATTTCTATATTCCTTCTCTTCTATCATCCATTAACATAACAGGACTGAGCACAACAGAGAAGTCCCTTCCTCTGCTTCAAAGTGACCCCTTACCTGCTCGCACCACTGATTTCACACCCCCAAGCATCTCTGAAAGAGGAAATGGCTCCTCAGAGACCACATATCATCCAGGTGACCACTCAAGCCAGGTCCTCCCAGAAACTTGAATAATGCTTGTATTCTTATTATGACAGGTTGAAACACAAATGTACCTAACCAAAATGATATTGGGGGTGAATTTGCCTTTCCAAATCTTCTTAAAGTGATCAATCATTTATGTTATGTATGCAGTTTCTAAGCATTTTTCTTCAAGCTAATGAAATACAGGTGATAGTAGGCATGGGGAAAGGTAGCTTAGTGAAAATAATGCAGGGGTGGTGCTCAGAAGATGGTGAAGGTGTGAGGGAGGATTCCCTATGTATAACCAGGAGAAGTCCTCCAGGGTCGTAGGATCACTGCATCTGTGCTGGCTGCTCAAAACCTGCTCAGAGCCCCTTGCTGCACTGGGCAGGACAGAATTCTCCCATGCAGTATCTTGACACTTCTGAACTGTTTTTCAGTTGTCTTCTTGACACTTCTGAACTGTTTTTCAGTTGTCTTGAAGTGAGATGTTCCCACTTCTTAGATCCACTCTCGGTTCACATCATCAGAAGCATTTAAAGACAGGGAACTATTTTTAACAGTCCTTTCAGAACTGAGGATTCAGAAACGAGATGTGCTGTTTTCCCAGAGATATATGATGTCAATTCTTAAAACAAACAAACAAACAAACAAACAACTCAAAATTGTGAAATCTAGTAGAATATAAGCTGGAGGGTTCTTTTTGCCCAAGGAGACCTGTCACATTCCTTCCAACTTGGACATAGTAGAGGTTTTAGCTTCTCTTCAAGTTTAGCTTTTCATCTTAGTTGACACCTTCATCTGCCAACATGAGGCTGTACACACATTTCTGAAATAACGTCTGTGATGCAGATGTTTCCTAGGCAAGCAGATTTCCAAAAACACTTCATAAAGGCATCGTGAGACTCAACTGCTTAGGAGGACTGTTAATCTTGGTCTATAAAAGCAACATGCATGTACAACACCAATACAGTAATTTCAGTGTTTTGAGTATAATGTTGCCAGGTATGGTCTGTTAGTAAGCAGCTGAACAAGGGAGTAATTCTCTGAGCACACTCAGGACTTCATAGTTCCTCCTCATCATGCCACCAACAGAGGAATCACTTGGAACTTGTGTAAGCCTCTGAACATAATGTCTGACCATCTGGTGACAGCACACCCTTTTTCATTATTAATCTCATCTCATACACACAAAACACAGATTCAGCATCCCTCGTTATCCCCATATTTTATCTCAGCACGTTAAAACAGCAGAGTTTCAGGTAGACCTTCCCAGGGAAAGGCTTAGAGTGGAGTGGATTAGAAACACGAATGTGCAGTACCAAATTATCTCTTGGCACAGTTGGATGGTACAATTTGCCTGGGAAACTTCTAATGCATTCAAATAAAAGAGCATGCCTTCTTTTTTAGAGTAGTATTGCTCTTTAATGATCTTTCAATCATGTGCTAGGAAAAACTGTGTAATTTATATTTATGATTGATCAATAGTTTTAAAATAAACATTTCTTGGTTGCTGATACATTTAGGGTAAACCTTTTAATTCAGTTTTCTAATGATATAAACTATTCAGTTGTTCTGTTTTGAAATTCCTTACAGTAAGTATTCCCATGCACACATCACACTAGAATATCAAATACTATTTTATAAGATAGTGTATAAATTTTGTAACCAATATAGAATGATGTTTGTATATGTATGAACATCAATACTTAAGATGTACTACACAACGAAAATCTCACCCTCCCAAATCTTGTTTTTTAAAAAACAATAACTCAGTTTTGATCAGTATTTTACATACTCCAGGTTCTTGGACTGTGATTCTCTGTGAGCATGTGTGTGTGAGCATGCATGCATGGTTATCTCCACAATTTTTCCAACGCTGGATGTTACCGACCTGTTAAAACTGCCAGTAAGGCGATTCAAACTGTTTTGTGCTGATTTTACAAATCTCCCATAGTTCACAGTACGAACTTTTTGTGTACATTTTAGCCATCATACATATTTGTGCTAGCTCCTGTTCTTCCTTTGTGATTTTGTAATCAGAACTTATTACGTTTTAGAATTGTAGCGTTTTCTACTATTCAGTCTATAGGGCAAGTTTGCCTCCAGTCTCAGTCTGGAGAGTTATTTATGAATCTAACAAGCTTTCAGGGATTAGGAAGTCAAAGTAGTTACCTGGACAGGTGTATAAACAGGAGCTCAGGAGCCTCCTTCCTGCCTAGGGAACTATCCAATCATAATAAATGGGGCCATACCAGATTGTGGCACTTTTGTGCCATATAGTTTTCTTAGAGTCTAGACTGCCAGCAACAGGTGTGAGAGACATAACCATCTCACTTTCTAACCTCAGGTTTTATATCCACGCTGCTGACGCCTCACCTGCCCCCACAGTCCGACTCGCAGATGCCCTCTGCCAGAGGAGCTGACACTCAGACACTCAGCAGCCAAGCTGACCTCACTACACTCATGCCTGTTCTCGGCAGGACTGACCCACCAGGTTTGGGGGCTCTTTAGACATGGGCAAATGTTAAGAGTTCTGAGAGTCTCCTCACTTTGAGAATGGTATGAGGAGCTGTGACCACTTGTTCAATGTGGAGCATTTGCTGATTGATTGCTTAATAATTTTATAGTTACCGCTAGTATGCAAAACAAGGAGACAAAGTTCATTCTAACAGAGATGGAATAATACTCAGGGCTGAGGCTGCAGCAATGTTCTGGGTTCCTATAGATGTTGCTATTGCTTAGTGGAGACTGTATTCACTGGTAACAAAGAATAATATATATGAATCTTTTAGACCTTGAGTTTCAAACAGCTGTTAAGAAAGAAAGGCTCCTTATTGATGAAGGAGACACAAAACCCATTACCACAATGGCACTGTCTTTAGGGAGTGAGGAAAATGGAGGCTGACACTCACATATCCCATGATTCCCATGATTCTCAAGATTCATTTTTTTTTTCTGTTCTTATAGCAACACAACCTACTCAGTCCTTTCTTTTCCCAAACCAGAGTGTAAATAACTTCACAGTGTCATTTTATAATGACGGAATATAAGTATGTCCTTTTTTCAGGTCTTAATTTCATAATATTGTAATGTACATTCAGCGGCCTGAGTACTTGACAGTGAGTTAGACATGTAACAGCGGCTTGCTAGCTTCAGGATGTATCAAGCATGGTGGTCAAGTCACACATGGGATAATTATTATTAGGATATCTTACCTGATCCTGTTGCTCCAGCAGAACAAAATAGTTTTTGTTTTTGTGTTTGTTTGTTTTTACTTTGATTTTTGGTGTTGTTTTGTTTAGCAAATCCAGACTAGAAATCAGGGATTGAAAAGCACCATGAACAAGAAGCACGCTCCAAGGGCTGCTCTTCACACAAACCAACCTGTTCTGCTATAAGCAAAGAAATCTTGTCACATTGGTTAATTTTGCTAATTGAAAGATCCATTCCGTGTAGTAAATTATTAAAGTGGTAAATGCCATCCTTAAGTAGGAGCAGAGGTTTCCAACTTAATAAGGAGAAGGTCTGTTTTCTAATGAGGAGGCAAGCTAGGGATTCTGAAGACCGTGATGTCGGCAGTCTCAACTGCAGAGGTGAAAGAATGGGTTGGGCAGGGGACCAATGTAGAAAGGAAAGCAGCAGAGTTGTAAGAAAGCTGACAGGCAGAATCAGCTGCTTTTGCCATTTCACAGGTGGCCAGTTTTAAAAGATTGCATTCATAACCATACCTATAATCTTGTTACTGTGGATCACCCCCATTGTGTCTAGAACTAGTGAATGGATGCTTCCTGAATTCATTCTATCCCATGGTTTACTTAAAGCTGAGAGTTTAATGTCTTTTGAAGAGTGGGCCAAGAACAAACTGAATTGACAAAGAGATTAATTTTCAATGCTCAAACAATGTGTTTATGATAACTTATGGATTCAATCCATTTGCAATTGGGAGATGCATGGCATGCTCTCACCAAAGTTATTCAGAGAAAAGCCATGGGCCACTGACTAAAGAGAACACCTTGCACCAAAATGCATGCAAACTGACCACATATGTGAGCCAAGGTTCACATCACTGAACCTAGAGATCTCGACAGTGAAATGATCAAACAAGCTCTCCAATAGGAGCCAGCTCATGTTTCCTTTTATTTCTCCATGGCAGCTAGTACAGCGCTAGTCATCTAATGAGTAACTAATGACCATACATGGATTGCCTATCCTAAAGTTCTGGTCATGATGGATGGAGGAAACATGTAACAGTCATGAAGTTCACTGAAGCTTGACAGTAAAATCCTAAGCAGGACATACATCTCTTTTAGCTATATTACTCAAAACTCTGCCAGCAATTGGGAAATAAGGGGATTATATTGGAGTAGTGGACAGTGTATTGATACAAAAATAATCTGATGTCTGCCTGGCATGGGAGCCTTCTTGGTAAATGTAGTATTGTGACCATCAGCCAATAAGAAGGAAAGGCTGAGACTAAGATGCTGCACAGGCAGGAGACCATTTAGTTCAATTCCAGCAAAACTGACACAGAGTCCCAGTACATAGGATTTTTCCAACCAAAGAGGCCCATACAGGCACAGCAGATGTCAGCCCCCACTTCCTTCTGGGGGAGCTTAATAAGGCAACCCTTTTACATTCAGAGTTAGATTACTCTGTATGTCATTAGCACCTCCAAGACTGTATTCTTCTCTGCTCTTTGAAATATTTTTAAATACTACCCAAGGCAGCACTTGACTGGGGCATTGACCTCCAAGCTATTTCCAAAGGCCAAAACTTTTTGCTCCTGTCAACTGATACCCAAGCTGTACATATGTCTGCTTCTGAGTTCATCTTTCTCCAAGTTCTCATATTGACAGCACATTCTATGAAGTAAGGATTATGGAATGGGCTAGGGTTAAGGTTTGGCTTTGTAGTGTGCTGTTGTAGGTATACCAGATAGCTCCTTGCTCTGCCTTAGTTCAATAATCACATACATTTCAGCATGTGGCATAATGGAATGATAGTGTTGGTGACCCTTCTGATTGCAGGTGGGCCAGGGACTGTCCCAGGGAGCTTTCCTGCAGACACAACCCTTCCTGTCGGCACCCCCAGCCTTGCACGCAACAGCTCTGCTGCCTCACCTACACACACCTCCAATGTCAGCATCACAGGTATCTCCTCAGGTGTGACCAATACGTGGTATGTGTTTTAGGCTCTGGAGGCTCCAAACTTGAATGAGGCTCTTCTTTTACTCCAGATACTATTTTCAAGCTTCCCATCTTTAAAAAATCTTGATAAGTAATTAGGCAAAAGAAACTTATGAGAAAACCTGGGGGGGGCTAACATGATTTTGCTATTATTATTGTAAAATTTATGACACTGAAGTTGATAATGTACATTAACAGTTTATAGTGCTAGGATTATAGTGCTATAATCCAACTGCCTGAAGTTTTCTAGACAACCTAGAACAAGTGACTCAGTTTCCCTTTTGTGAAAGTGGCCCCTCGAATATTCATCTCATAAAGCTGATATGATGACTCTACATGGAAAGGCTTGACACAACATAAGTAAGAAAAGAATTAGACCATTGATCTAATTCCTATCTAAAATAAAGAGAGCTGTAATTCAACAGAAAATGCCAGTTTGAGGCAAATTCTTTTTCAGGTAAAAATTATACTAAGGAGTAAATAACTTCCACCTTTATGTTGTGACATAACATTTAAAATTACTTGAAGTGTGTGCTATGTGAATGGGTTTGTACATAAGTCTTAGATTCAATTTGTTATCTTGAAAAAGTATCAGTTCAAATGATCAGTTCAGAAGAATCACCTAGCAAATTATCTTGGGTAAAGATTTTTTTCTCAAGCGTCCAGATAATAAATTCATTAACTTTTACTCTTTTGTTCATTTCCTTGCAGGTCCCAGCCTCACAACCCCTACACCATCCACTCTGGGCCTTACAAGCAATGACACTCCAAGCACAACAATAGGTGACAATCTTACCCTCAGTCATGCAGACATACCTCTACCACTGCTGGGGACGTCCTCACTTCCTAGCTTTCTGTACCTCAGGTTTCCTTCTTTGTGGAATCTAGAGTTAAAATCCTGATGTTCATTGAACAGAATCTAGACACTGGTGCAGCAAAGCTGTTGTTGAGACCCCTGGGATATAATGTCATGGCCAGTGCCCCCCAAGTGTTGTGGTGTTCTTGAGGAACCACATAAGCAAGTGAACTTATTTCTTTGAAGAGAAGTTGTAGTGTGTAATAGAGTAATTTTTATCAAAGCCACTACCCTTTTTCATTGAGGAGAGGCAGTTTCAGTCAGTTACTGAGGGGCGTGGAAATAGATGTAGGTGAGACACCTTGTTGAAGATCTGTGGCAGTGATGTAGTCGATGGTCGTGAGGCTAGTGTTGGGAAGCCCACCACTCTCTCAAGAGTCTCACAACTCTGAGAAGATTAGCAGAAATCGATTTACTTCCAGGAACTTAGACTCCCAGTTTTTCAGTTAAATCAGCGGTTCTCCCTCAACCTGTGGTTCTCAACTTGGAGGTTGAACAAGCCTTTCACAGGAGTCACCTAACACTGTCAGAAATCTCATATACTTATGACTCATAACAGTAGCAAAATTATAGTTATAACAACAAAAATAGCAATAAAAATAATTTATGGTTGGGAGTCACTACAACAAGAGGAGCTATATTAAAGAGTTGCAGCATTAGGAAGGTTGAGAACCACTGAGTTAAATGACTTTATTAATACGTGATAATTGCTGTAAGATCAATTAGCTACCTTGGATTTTGTGCTTGGGAAGCATATATAGGTTAAACCTAGGAACAAAACTGTCTTTATCTATTTTAATCAGTCATCTGATTAAAAAAAATGAACAAAACAAAGACACACCATTGCTTTGTAGGGGTTATAATTGTGGAAATCTAGTTTGAGACCAAAAAAGTGAATGAAGACTTAAAATATTTGGTAATGTATAGATGTGTTCCTGTCAGCATTCTAACATTAGATCCGTACCAAAAGTTGACATATTGCTACAATCACAGTTGAGCTTATTGTATACTTTAATGAAGATAATTTGTAGTTATCTCACTAGTTTATAACGTGCATGTTTGAAATGAAAATACAGTATTAAGCAAGCTGTGTTATGTGTTAAGCCTAAGTGGGTAGACTTTCCAGTTTATGAAACGTCTATGAAGCAGAGTCTCAAAGATGAACACAGCAGACATATTTTCAAATGATATCTCAATGATTTGCCTCTTTTTTTTTAATCTCTATTACAGCTACCACAACGAAGCCACCATGTGGTAAGTTTGTTGGTCCAACAGCAGTCTCTGTCACTTGAGAGCACCATCTTAATCCTGTCTCTTTTCCTTCTAAGCTTTTAACATTTACCCACTGTTTCTATTTCTCATGGCCAGCTCTAAATCTTAAGAGTCCCTATCTCTTTCACTTTCTTCCAATATTTAAATGTAACAATATTTAAATGTAACAAAGGGCACATATTTTTGTAAAATCAGAACAAATAAACAGGGGCTATAAAGACTGTGGTAAAGTGCTTGCCACACAAGCAGAGGACGTTGAGTTCCCAGATACCCCTGTAAAAAGGTGAGCTTGATAAAGGTAAGATGGTCCGATACTCTTGCCAGTTAAGAAATAGATTCTGACTCATAAAATTAAATCAAGAGAAATAGAGAAAGACGCCTGGTGTTAGTCTCTGGTGTCAATACTCATGTGTATATGCACATGTGTACTTCCTCAATTCATGCACAGATGAACATGCATACATGCACAGACATGCATTACACACACACACATAGAAAACAATTTTAAAATGGAGATGTAAATTAACAGTTGTTTAAATGAAATTTTTGCCAGTCAGTAGAAATTGCTGACACTAACCAATGGGGTTTATGAAGGATTTATTATCATGTGTAATGATGATCTATATGCAATGGAACGACTGAGAACTTATGGTCTCTGAATAAATCATAATTAGATAACTAAGTGATTTATAAAGACATTTGAGAAAACAAGAATAGTTATAAAGCAAGAAGTTTTTTTATGAGTTTATTAGAAAATAAACTAATCTGTGAGTTAATGCAACAAGTATTATTGAATTGTTACTAACAGATATATCATGAACCTAAGTTAATGAAAATGATCAAAATAGACTAGTTATGGTTCTCATGGACTTTACAGTTTAGTAGGAAAGATGGACACCAATCCAATAATTATCGGAGTCTAAACTGGGATCCTATGTAGGAGAGAGGATTACAAAATAATGACATGGGGCACATGACACAGTTTTTCTATTTTTCATATTCCTGGAGATATTGTGTTACAACCTATAATCTGCATTGGTAATATCTTGGTGTCTTATCTCTGCTTACTGAGTACTGAATTCACTCATTTGACACCCAAAACACAGCTACTGTAGATCATTCTCTGTACAAACGAATATGCTAAAACATTTGTATCCAATGCAGTTCATTCATTCTCCATGATGATAATACTAATTTCCTTTCTTTTTTTTCAGATAAAATATTTGAGAACTTTACTGTACATTACACCTATGAAAATAGTAGTGGGACTTTTAATGCAGACCTTAAAAAAGGTGATGAAATCCTTAAGTGTGATTGTGAAAAAGAGTTAAAAAATCTACAAGGATGCAAACCGAAAAACATCTCTCTGTCTAACGGCTCATGTACTGCAGAAAAAATTATAAATTTAGATGTACCACCAGGTGAATGTCAATTTCTTTCTATCTTTTTATTTAGAACAACAGGATGATTTCATGTTTGTGTTTTGTCCTTCCTCTGGCTAATGTGGTCAGAAAAAAAAAAAAAACAGAGGGAAAGCCAATGAGCTTTGATAATAGTGTGTTCCCTACTGAGAAGCCTGGAGAGCACGCAGAAATACACACTTACTCCTTAGGCCATAATCTGTCTCTCTTACTTCTGTTAGAAGGAGGTTCCTGGATGGGAGATGGTGGCCCTCACCTTTAATCTCAGCACTCCAGAGTCAGAGGCAGGCAGATCTCAGTGTTCCAAGGCAGCCATGTTTTACAGAGCAAGTTCCAGGACAGCCAAGGATACACAGAGAAATCCTGTCTCAAAACAAACAAACAAACAATAAAACAAAATAAAAACAAACAACAAAAAGCCAAAACAACAACAACAAACCACCAAAAAATAGTTCCTATGGATTAGAAACAGCCTGTTCTGTATTTTGTAAAATAATTATCCACAGCATTGCTGGTATTTCTTTTTAAATTCAAAATGTTCTCATTAGAGAAAAGAATGTACTTAAACATCTAATGTTTTCTCAAAAAATACAAAGGGGGAGTTCTAGTTAGGTTAATACCAAAGATTTGATCTCAGCATGTGGAAGGCCAAGGCAGGAGTATTTTATGTGTTCAAAGTCAGCCTAGGCTGCACCATGAGTTCTGTGCCAGCCTGAGCTACCATGTGAGATTACATTTGTTTTCAAAACCCAAAACAGACCAGTAGACAAGCATTAAAACCCTAAAGAAATTGTTTTTCAAATGGGAGAATCAGCTTTTATCTTGATGTTTCCTTGAGTTGCATTTATAAAAGCAGCACACATTTCTACTAAAACCTGTGGTATGGAGATCGTATGTTATCTTCCCTAATGAATGGCAAATGTCTGAGTTGATAGACAAACTCCTGGCAAATGGTGACTACATAGTATATAAATACATCCAAACACCATAATGTACACATATTTGTATAATTATGTGTCATCTGAAACAAAGATAAATTAAAAATTAGGAAGGTGAATAGATCATCAAGAAGCATCAGACCCTGGGAGAGCTTAGACTCCTCCCACTGAAATCTCAAGCTTGCAAGACTGGACTTCATGGGTATGATTTCAGCGTCTTTAGTTGAGAGGGTTCACATCTCCACTCCAGGAACCATAACCTAAGGGCACTTCTCCATTTTCTCCACAGGAATTGACAAGTTTACGCTACATGACTGCACACCAATAGAAGAAACTAATACTTCAATTTGTTTGGAGTGGAAAATAGAAGACTTTAGCTGCGACAGTAAAAAAATTTCATACAAATTTCAATGTCAGTCAGGTATGATACTTGGCAGAGAAGTTCTATTATCAGAAGTTATTCCAGACATGGCTTAAATGTTCTTTCTGCACCCTGCCCTTCTCACCCACCCTCAGAAGTCCACTGTAAATTAGAATAAAATAACCTCTGGCACTGAAACAAACTCATGAAGTAAATAAATGAAAAGAACAACCCATGGATGATAAATATTGCAAAAAAAATTTAAAAAATTTTCTTGAGTACTGTTATATACCAGACATTGTTGAAAGGATGGCGAGATGCAGGCATTATAAAAGAAAGATGGTATCCATAGTCTGAACAAAGGAAGCATAATATATATCCAAAGGTTATTTTCTCAGAGTTTCATGAATGAAAGTCATTTGAAAGTTCGAGAATCTGTAGGTAACAAGGAAAACAAGTGCTTCTAGGAGTGAACTTGGGTTTCTACAATGGTTAGGTATTTTAAGAAATATTCTTAAATTTAATGAGGTGGACTCTTTCTCCTCTGGGCATAAGCTATGTGCCAGGACACATTTGACAAGACAGAGGGAGGTACATACACACAGAGGCAGAAGAGATGAAATTTAACTCTGATTGTCAACATTGTGCTAACAAGAAGTTGCTGGGCTAAGCTGCAAGCAGTATGTTCACAGCTGGAATATATATCTATATCTATATCTATATCTATATCTATATCTATATCTATATCTATATCTATATCTATATCTATATCTATATCTATATCTATATCTATATCTTTATCTTTATCTTTATCTTTATCTTTATCTATATCTATATCTATATCTATATCTATCTATATCTATCTATATCTATCTATATCTATATCCATCTATCTATCTATCTATCTATCTATCTATCTATCTATCTATCTATCTTGTTACCAATTTTTAAAAATAAGTCACACTACTGGTTTCTCAACAAAGTTGAGTATAACAATGTTAACTGTAGGATCTTAGCTTATTATTTTACCATTTGCAGAGGCTTGACTCTAACATGAAGTCTTAAACACATGGTGCCATAAAAGAAGCCCACATGCTATGTATCATTCCATGTACTCACATGCAATACTTACTTCTTTCAGATAATTCAACATATGGTAGAAAATATGATTCACCTGAAAAATTTCAGTTATACAACCTTAGTGCCCAAACAAATTACACATGTGCTGCAGGAATCTTCTATAACAATGTAAAATTTTTCCAAAATAATACAAGTGTGCAGACCGATTTTGGAAGTAAGTATATTGCTTGCATTTATAAAATAAATAAAATTTCTTTTTCTTTTGTGGATTTACATGTTTTTGGAGGGGGGGAGAATCATGGAAAATAAATAATGGTATAGAATTACAGAAAGCATATGAGTGAAGAAAAGAAGTTTAAATGCACTTTAAGGTGAGTTTTAAATACTAGGTTATACAAACATAACTAAAGCTCTTTTTCTGTTGTTCAAATTGTGTCTGAGGCAAGACTGGTAAAAACAGTTGGAATGGTTTACGTGGATTATTCCCATTTTATTAATTTTTTCTTCCCTTCTTTTTTATAACACCATTTTCTCTGTATTCTAACACTTCTTTCCACAATTATGCTCTGCTTCTAATAGAAATAAAATAAGCAAAGGAAGAGAGAGAGATGATAGATAGATAATAAATAGATGATAGATAGATAGATAGATGATAGATAGATAGATGATAGATAGATATATGATAGATAGATAGATGATAGATAGATAGATGATAGATAGATAGATAGATAGATAGATAGATAGATAGATAGAAAGAAATAGAGACAGAGACAGAGAAAAAAGAGGAAAAGAAAGAGAGGGAAGAGGAGAGAGGGAGAGAGAGAGAGAGAGAGAGAGGGGGAGAGAGAGAGAGAGAGAGAGAGAGAGAGAGAGAGAGAGAGAAAGAGTAAGGGATGGAGAAAAAAGGGAGAGAGACAGAAGACAAAAAAAGAAATGAAAGCTAGTTATGATGATATATATGTGTTATGCCAGCTGCTTGTGAGTGTAAGGCCCTGTGATCACAAGTTGAAGGCTTGCCTGGACAACTTAGTAAGACCTACATAGTATGTCTTGAGCTACATGCAATCTTGTCTTTGCAACAACCATAACTAAAACAGAAACAATAAAAGAAAACCAACAAAATACTTACAATTTTCTAGTTCTGTACTTTTTGTTGTTGAATGTATTCATGGTTAAGGCTTTATTTTGCCCGTAAAGGTAATTTTTTTCTAAATTTCATTTTCACATAAATCTTCTGAGAAACACAAACATGACCATAATTTGCTTCATAGCTGAGGACAAAGGGAATACCCAAATCCAAGTCTACCACTGATCCTCCAAAACAACAGTATGCTACAGGATTAAACAGAGAAGTTTACTATTATGTTGGAGTTAAAAAATAACTTCAAGTAACGCCAGGGAGATTGTTTAGTGATGAAGACACTTGCTGTCAAGATGGAAGACCTGAGTGTATTCAGAGAATATACATGATAGAAGGAAAGAACCAATTTTTATAATTAACACACACACGCACAAACACACACACACAGACACACACACACACACAGGCACACACATGCACACATGTACACATATGAATACAGACACAAACCTAAAAACAAACAAACAAACAAACAAAGATTAGCACAACCTTTTTAAGTCAGTGTAACATAGGGGGAATCTTAGAAAACTAATGTTTATACTTGATAAAATACCATGTAATTTCAGTTAATTGTTTTAGTATCTTTATGGAAAAGTGCTATCAAATGTAGAGCAGCCATTGTGGCTCAACACACAGATGTTCCATTGCTCTAAAAGCTAAAGTTATGAAGCACCTAATCAAAACAATGTAGGATGCTATTTTTGTATGTGCAGAGTAGGCAAGTTCTCCTAAGAAATTTTTAAAAAGCAAGATCATAAAGAGATCAATAATTTTGACTTTATATATAGTTAAATACTTGTCTTTGAAGTGATTGGAGGAAATAGTACACGTTGTGTACTGTAGGAAAGTATACATGATTTATTTATTTATTTATTTATTTGACATGGAAAATTTCTCAAAATATGCCAAAAGTCCTTTCAGCTACAAAGCAAAACACCAAATATTACAATTTAAATAAGATAAAGCATTTTGACTCTGTAATTTACAAAAATATGCAGATGATGACTAGACTCATGGAAAACTGCTCAGACTCACCAGCCATCTGAGAAGTGAAAGTTAAAATAAGGTGGAGATTGTATACACAACCACTAGCAAAGATTAACATTATTAATGAGGATGTAGTTATTCACCCAGGATAAGAAGAAAGATTATATCGACATATCTATACAGCAGAGTAGACCCATGCATATGCATCTACTCCTGGCAAATGATCAAAGAACAACCAAGTGCTTCTGATAGAGAAAACATAGCAAGTTAATGAAGAACAATGTTCACCTTTCTTTGACCTAATGGGATGGTTGCTATATAAAGATAAAATATTCTTTCACACTGTAAGTTTGGAAGTTTCAGGCTAAGGCTGGATGTCCCTGTGACACTGGGTCTCTGGTAGAGACAGCAGATAATAGCAGTAAGGTCATTATCATGAAGAGAACTATTCATCTTGTGTGTCATGAAGGAAAAAGAAAAGATAAGAATGGGGAACCAATTGTTTCTCTTCCAGGGTATGCTTCCCATGATCTAAAGACCTTTACTAGGCCTTACCTCTCCAATATTCCACCAAGACCTGTTGTGGTATTCACCATTAAGGTATAGCAGTACTGACGATGAAAAGGACAGACTTATGTAAAAAAATCAAAGTGTTAATCCAATATAATTTGTTCAAAATATTACTATTTAATTCTATTCATATATGATGAATACAAGGTAACATTCAAGCTATAGCAATAGAAAACAGATCAGAGTAGATGTGGTATGTCTCAAGAAGGTTTATTTTGGTTTGCAGGTGGAAAGGAAGGATGCTAGAAATGTTCTTTATTAACTGTTATGGTAGCATATGGAGGAACAAACTCATAACTCATCAAGCTATATCTTAAGCAAGTGCCTGTGGATACTAACTGTGTCTCAATTTTATTTTTAATATTTTGGCACAGCAATACCTCAAAATGCCAAAACGCATGGCCAACAGTGAGAATATTTTGTTTGAAGAAAATATTTTTGGGTATTCTTCAAATCAGTGGGATATCTAGATTACCAACTGCTGTATGGAAGCAAAAAATAGTTTATGAAACAAATCTGATCTAAACAACCCAGGATAAGACTAAGAACTTCACTGAGACTTTATTAATTCATAATTAATCAAAAGTTGGCTATTCATGATTCAAGCTGGTTATGTAAATACTATTTTTCATTGTCTTATTTTTATCATTATAACTTTTTTGATTTTAACAGTTCCAGAAAAGCCTAAGTCTGTTTCGTGTGGGAATCCAACTGAGAGCACAACAAAAGTCGTCTGGAGTGAGCCTACATCGAAATTCCATGGATATTTTTTATGCTATAAGGCCAATTCAGGTAATGTTACAAAATTCCCACTAGGGAAACCAAGTAAAAAAAATCTTAAGTGTTGTAATTATTGTTTTAGCCAGGGAGTTACAGGGCATTTATGAAGATGCTAAGAGATTCATGTTTGTCTTAGGTTCAGAACTGTCACTTACTAAGGGCTTTCAAGCCTCGACTGTAGTAAAAAGCAAGACTATTCCTAAGACTTTTCTTAATCTGCCTTAACTTTAATCTTTACATTTGAAATCTCACTGAAACAAAAGTTTCTTGCAAATAATACATGTTCCCATTCTGCAAATATTACGATTTTTCTGTACTATCTGAACTTGATTTATTTTTGAAATATTTACGAGGAACCTAGAAAAACAAGCAAACAAATGCAGACACACGCTATTCTGTAAGTAGAAATGAGTGTCATCCCTATTTAGCCACATTAGATAGAAACTTGAGTGACTTTAGTTCATCATTAGATCATTAGTCTGCTTCAGAAATTAATGTAGCCCCCCTATCAAATGTACCAAGACTAGCTTTAAATCAGTCTACTTAGATGAACACACATCTCATGGAGAAGAATAAATATCTAGAACATTTATTAAAAATAGTGGGCAAGACTAGAGTCCTTTAGAGCAGTGTAAACATCAGGATAGTCCTTTATCTCTGGGCTAAGGTGGGAATGAACTGAGCACTCATAGAATGTCTCTGTGTTTGACTGGGAGGAGCCAGACATAAATTACAAAATTTGAAATCTAAGGAACCATTTTTGTATATTCTCTTACATTTCAACAACATTATTTTGCTTTATTCTTAAAATCATTATAATCAAATGACTAAAAGAAAGTTAAGAGGCATGTTGTCTTGAGCCTAAGTGCTATGGAGACGAAATATAAATAGTGTATTTGTGAGTATGATAAGTCAAATATTATATTGATAGTACAGGAGAAATTGAAATTAGGAAGATGAATCAAAGGGCTACTTATGTCTTCTGTTTTGTTGGAGAAGTGCTTTATGGATCTTTTAGTGTGGCGGGAATACTGCTACTACTTTGTGGAAAAAAATACATTGAAGCATTAAATGAAATAAGATGTTCACTTGTTACATATAGTTGTTTCTTTTAGACCTCAAAGTATTTATGTTTGAAAGGAGCCAAGAATGTGGATGATGGCAACAGAGAAAAGCATGCTCATTCTGAGTCTGAATTCTGTTCATGAGTGTGCTTCTCCTTAATGTCATGCATTTAGGACTCCATCCTGAGACAGTGATCTCTGTATTCATGGCAGATCTTTCTCACTCATTCCACAGAACCATGTACCAGTCATCTCTCACAACATCTCGCAAATATACAAATGTGACATCAATTTTGAAGGCCTTTCTATTTAGTTATTTAGTTATTTATTTGTTTGTTTTTATTGGATATTTTATTTATTAACAATACAGATGTCATCCCCTTTCCCCATTTCCCTTCCCTAGAACCCCCTATCCTATACCCCCTCTTCCTTTACACTTTTATACCATTTTGATTACATGCATGTATTAAGGTCAGTTCTAGGTTGAGGGTCTAGCAATATGATAGATGTAAACAGTTGAGGAACAAGCAATACAATAAACACAAATAGTCAAAGAAAAAGCAAGGCTTTAAACCCAATTACGTGAACACTCCCGTGATCACTGTTTCTAAAGGCTTATCAGGATGGCTAAAGTATCTGAGCCTACTTCCCTACCTTAGCCCAAGGTCATTTTCATGTCTGAAGCCTACTTCCTTGTTCTAGCCTAAAATTTAGATTCCTGTCTGAAATTACTTCTTTGCTCTAGATTAATATTTAGATTCCTGCCGGAGATTACTTCTTTGTTGTAACCTATGATTTAGATTCCTACCTGAAATTACTTCTTTGTTCTAGTCTAATGTCAGATTCCTGCTTGAAGCCTATTTCCTTGTCCTTGGCCAATGTCATATTCCTGCCAAGCAGCCCATTTCCTTGTGCTTGGCCCATGCCAGCTTCTTGCCAAGCAGCCCCAAAGGCTCTCCACTTCTCCCCCTTTTTTATTTTGTTAACAAGACTGAGCCTGTCTTAGGTCATTCTGACATGAATGCCTTCCTTACCCATCATGGAATATGCATTATCAAAAGCAATGCATTGAAGGCCTTTCTTAATTTAATCAAGTTGATGATTAAGATTAACTATGACAGAGCCTTTAAACTAACAACAGGTACTTACTCCAGGTATAATATTCCTCCTGTTTAGTGGGCCTTAAGTCCAACTAGACAGCTGTTACTTACTGCCAAGGTATGAGTGCCACTGTTGTACCTTTAGAGACATTGTGCTGTGCTGGCCTTTGTTGTGATTCATAGGTATTCACAGATAGGTATGACTTCTGATTGCTTTCCTCTTTTAGCAGTTTGCATATCACCATCTGGTACCATGAAAGCCATCCCTCAGGGAAGAGACTTCTGGTTCAGTTCTAGCTCAAGCCCTGACTCCCACATCCATAGTGTATGCTTTCTTTAGCAATAAGTACTTCCCTTCAACTTGTGGGTAAATATAAAGAAATCATTACCTATGTCTTCTTCAAGCATCCTTACTGTCATATGTTCCTCATCCCACCCTATTCTTCTGTGTTGTCCTTCCTACCCCCAGTTAAAACCCTCTCTACACTTCTCCTCTTTCTCTTCATATCACCTATATCCTGCCTGTCCCCTCTCTAGAAACTCTCTCTCTCCTGTCCTTTTTACTGTTCTGGTTTCTGCAGTTACTCTAGGTTGCATACACACATCTAAAGGTTTGGAGCTAGGAACACAGATGAGAGACAAGATGCTGAGTCTGTGTTTCTGTATAAGTTCCCTCAATATTTGCAGTCTGCTTGGGATTATATAACATAAACATCAAGTTATCTACATAGGGATCCTGACTTTCAGAAACTTATTATCTTAGGTTTTCTTTTTAATTCTAGAAAAATGTGAAAAATTGGCTAGTGATGTGAACAGTTTTGTGGTGAGAAACCTGAGACCTTATGAACACTATAGAGTGTCTCTATTTGCCTATGTCGATGGGAAGATCCTGCGAAATGGCACTGCTGAGAAATGCAACTTTCGGACAAACCCAGCTCGTAAGTTTTTTGCTTTAATATTTCTTCCATGAATGATAAGGGGCAGAAAATGTCATTTTTATGTGCAATCCATTGATCTTTCTACTTTCTCTGACATGTTTGTTAAATAATTTAAAAGAAAATTGTTTAACCACTGCTAGTCAAGGTTCACTGTATCTATCAGATATAGTGACAGGGTTGAAATAATAAATCTGGAGGCATCACCAGCCAGTGTGATTCTTAAGACTTCAAACACTTAAGCATCTCAGTAACTTAGATTAAAAATTTTCACATTACTATCTAGAAACACAAACTGCAGCTAGACACTTAATGATGTTCTACAGAACTCCTGATAAAACATTACATAATATATAACATGTTTTGGTACTTATTTTATGTCATGTTTTTCACTGGAAGTTTCAATGATCTTGCTTCCTGTGTGACATTCACACAGTTTGCTGAAACAAAGCTAGATTGGTGTACAAGGTGACTGCTAATCTCAAATAGAGGCAAGGAAGAAGACAGAGTCCTGGAGTAAGGTTGCATCTATGACTATAGGACCTAATGGGCACCAGGTTCCTGGAGAAAAGATGTCTTCAGTATTAAAACACTCTCCATATTATCTAGGCTCATGTAATCCCATCATTAGCTCATGAACATTTGGCATGTGATAACTACAAGAGAAGGAGAGTCTATTTCCTTTAATGATGTGATACTTTATGGTGTGAGCACGTACTGTGGTGAACCTTAGTCCCAAGAATTAGCTTGATGGGGCAAGAAGAAGCAAAGGAGGAATCTCAGAGCTGAGTGGGAATGGGTGTAAGGGCAGAGCAGATGAGAAGAGGAAGGACTTGGCTATGTATTCATGAAAAGGCTCAACTATATATTGTATGGCATTCTCAAAGAATGAATGAAAATATTGAAAAATTTCCAAGTCCTACAGCTATATGCTTTTGTTGCCTTCCTAGGTTTATGGGATATTAAAGCCAAGGACAGTGATTAGTTGCTTGAAAAATCTCTCTTGATGTTGAGTAGGATAAAGAGGCACATGAGAGGAAGAGGGCTTGGGTTGTACATGAGGACTTAACTGTTTCTCCTTTTTTATTGGATATTTATTACTTACATTTCAGATGTCATCCCCTTTCCCCATTTCCCCTCCCTAGAAATCCCTATCCCATGCCCCCTTCTCCTTTTACCTTTTATACCATTTTAATTACATGCAAGTATTAAGGTTTTAAAATAAGCTTGAATCTGTGTTCTCGTGATGCAGACCAACACTGAGAATAGTTTACATTGTACTCATGCTTCAAGGTATTTAAACTTTCACATATCAAAATATTAAAATATTTTTTTCATTTTGATAGATCCAAGCAAGGTCAATGGGATGAAAACCTCCCGGAAGACAGAAAATAGTATAAGTGTCACATGTGAACCTCCTTCTAAAATTAATGGCCCTGAAAAGTTTTACATTTTGGAAGTCAAATATGGAGGTTCTCTAGTTAAAAATGAAAACCAGTCAACATGTAAATTTGATGTAGAGGATCTCTACTATTCAACTGAGTATGAGTTTCTGGTAAGGTCTTGTGTTCCATAATCACAGCCTTCCTAAGATATATTATGGTGTTTAATACTTAGTACTTGCGTGGCATTAATGACAGGTACTTGCATGGACTTATGGATCTCTGATGACTCGTGATCAGCATGTTAGAACGTCAGCAATTTGATGCTAAGTGTTTGCTCTCTGGAATGAAAAGCAATGCTTAATGGCAAAATTTTCTCAGGATATTTGCTACTTCAAAATGACTTAACTGTGGGGAAATCATTGTTCGTGTGCCTGTTAGGAGCCATTTCCTTAGCAGCAGATGTTCACTTTGCCAAATGTTTATTTTCATTAAGTTTTCAACTACAAAATCTTAAGTGTGATTTGAAGTTAGAAACTACTAAAATAAATTAAAAAACATTTGAACATAAAGAACCATAAGATACCTATTGTTTTCTTGTGAATTAACATCATATAGATTTTTCTGTTATTTATTTGAAATTTTCTATGCAATAGAAAAACATAACCATTTTTAAGACAGTCTGGCACTTTTTTCCTGTAATGTTTTATCATTAACTTTTTTGTTACTTAATTTCCAATAGTTACATGGAATCCTAGCATATAGTTTTTATCATATTCTACTAATCACATCTATATTGATCTCTAACATAAACAGCATTTGGGAAACATGTTTATGAATAAATAATCATTTTTCTTAATGTCTTTAATAATTTCTACTCAATACAAAGAAAACTTAAGGAAGAAAAATCTGGTTTTGGCTTCTAGTTTGAAGGAAGGCTTCATGTCAGGAGCCTGATAAAATTGATTACATTGCATCTGTATTCAGAAACAGAGGGATGGATGTTAGTGCCCAGCTCACTCTTTAACTTTCACTCCACTTCTGACCATAGACCATTGAGTTATGCTGCATTTTGAATTGGTTTTCCTTGAGCATTTAACCCTTCTCCTTCATACACATGCTTAGAAATGTCCAGACCTGTCAAGGTGATGATCAGTACTAACTATCCTAAGTTCACTTGTGCATAACTTTTAAGCCATAACCTTCCACCTACTAAGCTCACCTTGTGTTCACCTTCCAACTGGCTCACACATAATCTCCACCACACTTTACATTTTTATGTTTTTCCTCGGTCTTACTGGAGACCTGAATGAGAGCAGTGAGCAGTAACTGTGCTGTAGCCTGAACACTATACTGTCTTCAGATTTCCTTCACCAAAGAAGTTAATCCACTTCCTTTTTGGTTCTCTATTATCCCAGCCACAGAAAGAATCTAGCCAGATTCTTTGTCAAAATGTATCACATGCATGATACACTCAGCCCTGGATTCCCTCCAGCCTCTGAAAATCCGTGAGCTGGGCACTATGCCTTTCTCGTGGCACTGTGGTCCTTGGATCCCTATCACAGTTATATATCATGTTCTGCTTACAAGCGTTCTAGGCATTCTTTAGAATGAAGCTCTGAACTCTTCTTCCTTCTTTGCATAAACCAGTTCCAAAGAAGTAAGAATCCTGTGCTCAGGTGTATCACAGCAATGCTGCCATTCCTCAGAGCAATTTTCTTTGTAATTTTTTACTTTATTTATGAAGGCACATGTGTGTGTGAATTTGGGTACATATGTACTATAGTGTACAAATATAGAAGGTAGAGGACACATCTGGGAAGTCAATTTTCTTTTTCTACCATGAGTTCGAGGGATTGAATTTAGGTTGCGAGACTTATGTAGCAAGAAGTTTTATCTGATGAGTCATCTCTTTAGTCCCTGGTTTTCTACATTAGCTAATCACCTTGTTGCTATGTCTAAATACCTGACAAATTAAGGTAAGGATGAAAGAACTTATTTTTGCTTAAAATTGGAGGGAGTACAATACATTCTGGTGGGGAAGGGAAGACGGCAGGAATATGAGGCAACTGGCCAAGCCTCGTTTGTCTTTACTATTGAGTCTTTTTATTATTTACTACTAAGAAATAATAAATGTTATTTATTATTTAGTCTAGCATGGAATGTGCTACCCACATTTAGAGTAGGTCTCACCCCTCAATTAACTCAATATTGAAAGTCCTTCACAGATATGTCCCGAGATTCCCTCTCACCCCCATAGGTGATTATAGATCTTGTCACTTTGACAATCAGCATTAACCATCACAGTATGATCTTGACAGTGGATCCACTTCATTGTTTTATTTTATTTTTTTTCATTCTAAGTGTTTTTGCATATCACCTTATTGGATTATAAATTTTAACAAGTAGTAGCTCACAGGCTATGGTTCATCTACTCTGGTATTCAGTACATGCCAGAATCCTGAAGAAGTAGACTCTAATGTCAGTGACAGAATAGGTTGCTAGCAAGAGGGAGGGAAAGCAGGCAAAGAGCAAATGTTTTCTTCTTCCTTGTTCTTTATATAAGCTTCCACCAAAAGGATGTGACTCACATTTAAGGTCGATCTTACCATTTCTAAATATCTGGATTTAAATTGAGTATTTCTACTTCAAATAATTCAATAGAGAAAAAAAAGAATTCTTCACAAGTATGCCTAGATGCTTGAGTTTTAGTTAATTCTAGACGTAGTCAAGTTGACAACCAGGAATAGTCTTGACAAGTAGTTTGGAATTATATATATATTAATGTATGTAGTGCTATTTTAAATGGTACTGAAGTGGTATTTACATAGTCTGACTTACTGATACGGTGAATTACAGTAATGGATTATTTAATGCAAAACACTTCATATTCTAAGAGGAAAAATATTTCTTCCTTTTATGGTATATTATTATTTCAATGTATTATTGAATAAATATTTTAATATATTATTAACTCCTTGGACATATATTCACCAAGGAGATTATTCAATAGACAGGTAGATCACGTGATTGACATCTGTGTGGTATGCAGAACTTTTGTTGCATTTTGGAAATATTTCACTCTTGCTTTCAGTGCTGTACAACTTTCAGTAGTATAAGGATGATTAGTACCCTAGACATCCATTTAGTCCATTTAATATAGAGACATTCTTTGAGACTCATCTACATTGTCTTTCACAATCATTTGTTCTTGCAGATATCTTCTTGACTAAGTATGCCATTTCTTTCAGAAGAGTATTCCATATGGTGAAATAGTGTGCTATTACCAAGTCATCCTGCATTCGATTCCACAGTGTGCAGCTTCCCCAGTGGCCACAGAGCTCTTGGCACACTGTTTCCTTTAGTCCCACAACACTGAAGCTTTATCTTGTTGATTACTTTAACTATTGCTTGCCTTTCTTCCTGAGATTCTCTTCTTTCTCTCTTCAAACATTATGTTATTCTGGGATCTATGAGTGAACATTATAAACATAAAATTCAAATTAGGAGATGATTTTCATTTAGTCATTCCTTCTCTGACTGCACAAACAGCTCTCTGGTTTTCTTCATTTCACTTACCATAATGTATTTCCACATCCATTTGTGTCCCTAACACAACATGCACACTCTCATGAGGGTGTAATCATCTCGTCTTTATTCAGCCTAACCAGCTCTATTAAAGATATTTATACTTGTTTCATTATTCATACTTTATTTCTAATGATTTGTTTTGATGTATTTTTCTTGTTGTATCTTCTCCACATATGAAAAAAAAATCGTTTTGATCATTATTACCACGGTTTGGAAAAAAATGTGTCTTGTTCCTCCATGGATTGTCAGTTATATCTAAAAGCCTGCAAACAGAATTTAATGGATTCTTAAAGAAGATTGTTTGTTCTGGAGTTTGTGTGTGTGTGTGTGTGTGTGTGTGTGTGTGTGTGTGTGTGTGTGTGTATGTATGCATTTGTGGATCTTAAAATTTTATTCCTGTGAATTTTATTGCTTTATAAGAGGTAATTGATAAAATTTTGTTTATGAATATTGAGATATCTTATATTCACCAGTGATCTGTTTCTGCATCCTCTCAGTTTAACTTGATATCAAGTTGATTTTCTTTATTTGTATTACATTTTATAAGCTCTTGGTGTTTGTGATTATTATTTCTACACTGCAGTTTTTCATGTATTTTACCCTTAAAAATGTGTGCATTCTACACTAAACTCTTGTCAATAGCAAGGTTACTTTAAAAATAAAATGTGAGCACACTAGCATATTAATAGACAGCTTTAATTTTTGTCTATTTACTATACCTCTAATTATTAATCTTTGGTTTTATTTTGTGAACTTTTTCATTTGTTCTTCCATTTCTATTTATTACTGACGTAATTCCTAAGGTTGATAAACACTTTTTTCTATCTTTTTAAAAACATACAGCAAAATAACATTAAAGGTTTAGATTTATCTCAGAAGTTTTTGATGAAAACAATCAGCATTCTATGAAAAATAATATACAGTTTATAACATGCCATACATTCATAGTAGAAAACTAAATTATTTTCTTCTTTTTTTTAAACTGAAACTTAGGTCTATTTTCACAATGGAGTGTACCTGGGAGAGCCAGTTAAGAAAAATTATGCAACATCTTGTAAGTCATCCTGGCCTATTTTTCTACCTCTATATGTATGCATTTGTTTGAACGAAACTGTTTTATTTTGCATCCATACATTGATTCATTATTTGCTTATATGTATTTCATAAATATCTGCAACTTATACAAATTATAGCATCATAAAAGTCAAATTAATAGATTTGATCACTTAATAGATATGTGAATGTTCCTTTCATTAAAATTTTTAAGAGGATCTATTTGCACAAATATTTTTGGTAGCCCTTTAAATGAGACTGATTTCTTGAATGTAATGTTTGATGTGTATCTGTGCTACTGATGTGTGTGCTAATTGATTATGTTCTGATATGTGAGGCATCAATATTGACAATAAAATACAAAAAGCAGGATTGGGGTTTTGAATAGCTACTTTTCTCTGTGTTCTACACATTCTAGAATTTAATAGAACCAAACTATTTAGCCTCATTTTTGGAATTAAGGAACTTGATGTGCAAAGGTGGTAGGTTTCTGGCCAAATTCCCTCCTAGGAAGTAAGACCTAAGGTTGGAAGCTCACCAGCCTGGCTCTGGGGTCCAAACTGTGATGTCACTTCATAGGTATATTATATTTCCATCATGTGCATGAAAAGGATGGCATGTAACCCAGCATAAAGATATTGCCAACAGTGCTTTGCTCTGTTTTCCCTATGAGTGTGGTGCACATTGGTTCTTAGTGAAAGCTCAAGCTAAGGAAAGCGTTAATCCTCACTGTCAAATGAAATACATTTTATCTCTTGGTTAATTGGTTTTATTCCCCAGTGAACATGTAAGAGATTTATCTTTGTGGGATAGAAGCTTTTATGAATCCCTTAGGAGGCTACCCACTTTTGTGCTGAATGGTAAACTATGAGTTCCTTTCTGAAAACTGTAATAACTACATTACCTCATTGATTTCTTTAAAATGAGTCTCTGAAAGGGAATTAAATCTAAATGATAGTTTTCTACAAAAGTACATTATTTAATGAAAAGAAATGGAAGTACTCATCTATATTCTAATTAGTCTCTTTAAATATAAATGCCTTGGGAATTTTGAAATAACAGAGCCCCAAATTGTAAAAGCAAGATTTTAATGTATTTCATTATTCTAAAATTTATTCTAAAATTTTAGCTTTGACTCTTCACAATAAATGAAAAATATTAAAATTCTACTTCATGAAGGTTACTCATGGTCTAGCAAAGTATTTGAAGTAATAACCTCTTGTGTATCACTTTTTATTTCTAGATAATGCTAAAGCACTGATTATATTCCTGGTGTTTCTGATTATTGTGACAACAATAGCCCTGCTGGTTGTTTTGTATAAAATCTATGAACTGCGTAAGAAAAGATCCAGGTAAGAGACAATTAATTATGAATTAGGAGCCAATGACTGTTGTAATAATGTTTCAAGCTGGCATCCAAAATTCATTGCCTGAGCAGTGGACCAGAGAAGACAGTATGAACTTAATTCACATCTGAATATTGGGTCAAAGACTTAAAATGGAATTATTGGCTTCCTATAAGTACTTATACTCTAGGTTTTTTAATGGTATTTTGAGCTTGTTTTAATAATAATAATCAGTGTAACAAAGAAAATGTGTATCTTTTCTTTGAATCCTCAGTGGAGGAAACCAATCTGGGGACCGCAAATGTAAAGGAGGGACGTTCTGGGCAGTGTGTTCATTTCTTTGCCTAATAAGATAAAAATTTATGAAAAACTGGGAGAATTCACTTAATTTTTTCTCCCTCTTCTGAAATGTGCAGGCAACTCTTGGTTGCTTTCTTTGCTCCCGTTGCTTTCTTCACTTTTGCCAAGTTCCTGTTTTCCCTCTCCTCTTTTCCATCTTTCATCCTCTTTCCTCTCCTCCCTCTGCTCCTCCCCCTCTTCTGTGATCTTCGTCTGTACTTCTCCTTCCACTTAGTACATTTATAAAATGATATTTGCTTGCTTAAGCTGCATGTCAACTAAATGCCATGTTCTTACAAATAAAGAAACTTATTTTATTTTCACAGTAATTTAGATGAACAACAGGAACTTGTTGAAAGGGGTGAGTATGAATAATTTTGTCTGATGAATATTATTTCTCTGAATTCAAGTCCACTTACTTTAAAAGAAGGGCTGGGCATCTTTAATTCAATCTGGGCTTTGTCCATTGACATGAAACAAATTCATCTGTTCCAAAATGTAGCCATCTATGTGAAGTTTTTAATCACAATATTATCACAAATATTATCTGTGGCACTGAAAATGTCACAGTGACAGGCCATGGTCTCTGCTCTTCAAGGATTGGGAATCGAAGAGAGGAAGCTAGGTGTGTTGATGAACAAGAGCAGCATGGTAAATTTTATAGCTGTGCACTGTACATGGTTGTGCATAAAGATAGAAAGGGTTTGCAGCCCCATGAGGAGAGCAACAATACCAACCAACCAGAGCTCCCAGGGTCTAAACCACCAGCCTGGGAGCACTTAGGGAGGGATCCATGGCTCCAGCTGTATATGTAAGGGTGGAGGGCCCTGTCGGGCATAGCTGGGAGAAGAGATCCTAGGTCTTATGAAGGCTGGATGCCCCAGTGGGTGGAAATTTGAGGGTGGGGAGGTGGGAGTGGGTGGGTAGGTAGGGGTATATCTGCAGAGAAGCAGGAGGAGGGGTGAGGCGATAGGGGGTTCCTGGGTGTGGAGGGATGTGTCTAGGGGATAACATATGAAATGTAAATAAAACATCCAATAAAAACAAAAGAAAGAAAACTGTGGGGAGGGCAGGAATTTGGTTTGCTAAGACTGCTGGGAAACATCAGTCCAACTAGTGAGGAAGGCAGGTGGTATTCCACAGTGATGTCATGATATGGAGTATTTTCAGGTTTTGTCAGGGCGTGACAGTGGATCCTCCCACTGAAAGCAAAATGATGAATAAGATAAAAACACTTTATTTAAAAGAAGGAGATGTCTTCTTCCAATTGTTATGTAATTTCTTTAGCTTTTAAAGACTGGATCCAATAAAAATCATTAGAGATATTTAAACTGTGCTTGTAAAAATTAAAGTAACAATTTACTTTTTCTCTTATTTATGACACTGAATTTGAAGACATCTCTGTCTTGGGTTACCTCCTGTGTGAAGGGTTTCCTTCAGACAACAAGAGGTACCAAGCGGTGTGCAGTAGCTTTTGGGCTGGTTCTTTGGAGCTCCATAGTTTTGGTCCCTGTTAGAGACTATCCCAACCTGATATGGCTTTATTTGCTCACATCTTTGTTGAATACCCTCCCATAACCAGGGTGCAGACACTGGGAAGGCAGGGAGGTTCCACTTTATTTAAATGTTTTCTCCCCCTTAACTGGGTGAGGATATGGAAATCAGTGCATGCAAATGAATAGATAAAGTAAAAAAGATCACATGTCTGGAGTGTTAGTCCTGTTAAGCTGAGGGGAGAGGGAGAAAGAAAGGTCTAACTATCCCTAGGCAGAGGGTCAAATACAGTTTCCAGAGTTAAGGTGGATTGGAAGTATCAGATGTTTTCTCTTGTAATTAGTACCAGTTGCAACTAGGAATACTTTAGACCTTACCCGCTCTAAACACAGCCTTCAGGTCAGCCTCAGTGAGGTCTAGATATCTCCCATCACCCAGAAAAACTAGCCAAAGTGATCATGGTGTTTGAAAAAACAAAGTTTATTGTGACCAGTAAGATAACTATGCCACACTCATGGACAACTTCTTTCTTCCTCTAGCAATGGGGACAGTTAACATGACACCCAGAGCATGAACAGAAACAGGAGATGGGAGACAAGGAGAAATGTTTGTGTGTGTGACAACACACATTTCCTTAGCCTTTTAAACCATGGTTTCTGGGGCTAGGCAGACAGCTCAGAGGTAAACAGCACTGGCTGCTCTGGAAGAGGCCTTGGGTTAGTTCTGAGCATCCACTCGGCCACTCACAATTGCCCTAAAATCCAGTCCCAGGGAATCAGATACCGTCTTCGGGCCTGTACAGGCATGGCACACAAGTGGTGCATGTGCATACATGCAGGGAAAACTTATGCATGTGACTCAAATAAAACAAATGTATCTTGTAAAAACCAACCATGTTTTGTCAAGTCCTGAATGTAAATATAGCTTGTCATGAAAGTTCTCTCATGAAGGAATTGATCCGATGGAAAGAAAAGAGGGGCTCTCAGTACTCATCTGTATTGTTTTATTTTCCTCACAGAAAGTTATATTACACTCTATATAATGTTTTTTTTTCTTATTTATTCTGGAGATACAATATAAATATAATTTATTTGACAGTATAGGGTAACCAAATTAAGACAAATAGTGGGCAGAATAGCATTAATTATCTTCTCTTATCATCTGTACAATTACAGTACTTAACAAAAGTTAAAAATAAAGTCTTGGGTGGAGCTCCTGTGTGGATAGCTTGCCTAGCATGTGTGAGGCTGATGGGGAGAAAGAGAGAGAACAAAAGGGAGAAATAAAGAGAAAATAATAATTGTTGCATATAGAAATCTGTCAAGTACTACAAATTGACTGTTATCAAGCAAAATATATATGGATGGCTAATAATGATAACAGTTGGTAAGGGACCATTTAGGAGAAAGAAGCTCATCCTCACAGAGGGAACAGGACAAAGCCAGACAAAGGATGAGGTACAAGATTTAGACATCCTTAATTTATAGGCAAATTCTTACCTATGAATGAAATGTCTCACACAGTTAGGGATAAGGGAAATAGTTAAGGTATGAACTCCATTAGCACATGCAGATTCGATGGACAGACAGCACTGGTCTTGACTCTAACTTGTTTACAGATGATGAAAAGCAGTTGATGGATGTGGAGCCCATTCATTCTGACATTTTGTTGGAAACATACAAAAGAAAGATTGCTGATGAGGGTAGACTGTTCCTGGCTGAATTTCAGGTATGTGTCATCCTAGACAGAGAGTAAGAAATTCCACATAGTCATCAAGATGATTCCATGTTATGTATATTTGTATAACTATTTGTCTTAATAATTAATCCACTGAACACAGAAATATAATATAGACATATGTTACTCCAATATTTATAGATGAGGGATTCAGAGAGGCTAGCAAGGACATCCACAATAGGAAGCTGGTAAACCTTGCACCATAATGCTCTAGTGCATTTTCTCTGAGTATCAAGTCCTGTCCCGAACAGTTTTGGCTCATTTTGTCCTTGTATTCTAGATGACTATCTGATAATAAGTCACTAAGTGATTTTATATTTTTTGTTTAACATTAAATTTGTTTTGGAATTAAATTTAGCTTAATTGTTCTGTCATTTTTTTAAAAAAAATACATTTTTCAGAATTCATAAAAAAGTTACTTTCATCTACCTAATATACAGTAGTTGTCAGTATAAAGGATATATTTTCATTTACCCCCAGTGATAACTGACATAAAATAAAACTCTTTCCATTACTTCCTCCCTCTTTCTTTCCTCCCTTTCTCCCTTCCTCCCTCCCCACCCCTATTTCTCTCTCCTTCAATCCTTTCTTCTACCTCCCTTCTTCCTTTTCACCCTTTCTCCCTATCTCTTTCTCCTTCCTTCCTTCCTTCTTTCTTTCTCTCTCCCTCCTTTCTTCCCTTCCTCCCTTCTTACCTCTCTCATTCTATTTCACTTCCTTCTTTTGGGAATCTTCCTTAACCCAAAGACTATTTGTATCTTTCAGAGCATTCCACGGGTATTCAGCAAGTTTCCCATCAAAGATGCCCGAAAGCCCCATAACCAGAATAAAAACCGTTATGTTGACATTCTTCCCTGTGAGTACACTTTGGAACTGAGTTTCTGTATATACAACACTGTATGACTACTCTTTATATCAGTATTAATTTTCTTTTCTTGAAACAGATGATTATAACCGTGTTGAACTCTCTGAAATAAATGGAGATGCAGGGTCCACCTACATAAATGCCAGCTACATTGATGTAAGTAAATGTGCTGGCCTACCTTATGACCTCTTGACTGTCAGAAATGTTCGTTTTCTTTACATCTCTGTGTTTCATTTTTGTCTCTCCACTGGTTTTGCAAGAATTTAGAGAAGTTATTATAAATATTATAAGTTCAGCTCATGACATCACTGACACCAAAACCAAAATTCATTAACGTTTACAAAGATTGTTACGTGTATTCTTGCTGTTGCTAGGTGTAAAATAGAGCTTCCTCCTTATGAAAGGAAAAATCTCCTCTTTGCTGTGCAAGAAGCTATCTCTGCATGGGTTTCTCATAAGAAGTCTCCATTTGCTGCAGCCGAGCACACTATGCCTACTAATATAAGAACGTGGAAAGTCAAGTACTTTAGTTATTTATGAAACTGTAATGAAATTAGAAAAGGCTTAAACTGAGATGGAGTGTAGGTCTGCCTAGCTCCAAGCTGGTGTGCTTCTGTTCACTGTGCATGGCAGCAGTTTCTCCATTGGTGTGTTCATCTCTCCCTTGTAGTTATCCAAATTGAAAATATCTAGACAAAATTTATTGATGACATTTAAAAATTTGGCATCTATAACTCTTAAATAAGTAGGGTTTCATGTGAGATCAAGAATTTTGCAAAATAGAAAAACACATATAAATTGAGAGCATCTCCTTACCCAATCTACCTAGCATCCCCTTTCAGGAAAGCCTTCATGTTTGCAAATGTTTCTTAACAGAAAAGTAAAACTCCAGCATTCACTAAGACTCCCTTGTTATAAATTCGCCGGGCAGTGGTGGCGCACGCCTTTAATCCCAGCACTTGGGAGGCAGAGGCAGGCAGATTTCTGAGTTCGAGGCCAGCCTGGTCTACAGAGTGAGTTCCAGGACAGCCAGGACTACACAGAGAAACCCTGTCTTGAAAAACAAAAAACAACAACAAAAAATGCTATATTCACATCATGATATAGTCTGTTATTTTCTGAATATGTATATAAAAACATGTATGTCTTAGATATGCATATCTGTATAGATATAGGTCTATACATAGCATATATGTAGAATGTATAGCCATCCAAAATATTCACATACTTCTAGATCTATCTTTCTATACCTGGAACACATGTAATAGTACTCTAAAGGAAAAGATTACAGATTCTTCCTGTAATGGCCCAGAGAGCACATACGCTTGACTTTTCTGATCAGAGTTAATTTTTGTCACAACCAACCAACTCCTGAGTGGCCCAGCATCCCTTGAAAATATGTAATATAGCTTAGTCACAAAGGACTTTGGGTATCAAGTCAGAACTTGCTAGATTTATCTATACCTTTCTTGTTCCTGTTACAAAATACATGAAAAGGACAATTTAAGGAAGGGTATGTTTCTTCTGGCTCTTGGTTTGAAGTACACTATATGACTATGAGGAAGGTGTGTCTATAGGAGTGTGAGTGACCAATCACATTGCATCTATAGTCAGGAATCAGAGAGACAGATGCTATGCTAGGACTCTTTGTCTTCTCCCTTTCATTCAGTGCAGGACTTCTGTTGAGCGAATGAACAGTGTTACCTACAATCAGGGTGGGTCCTACTTCATTTAAGCCTCTCTGGAAACTCCTCCACAGGCATGTGCAGAAGTCTATCTCTAAGGTGATCTTAAATATTATCAAATTGGCAATAAAAATTAGACAAGTACAGGGTAGGGGGGAGCTGGAAAAATGACTCAGCAGTTAAGAGAACTGCCCGTTTTTGCAGAGGATCTAGGTTTTGGTCCCACCGCCCACACCAGGAAGTTCACAAACACCTGTAACACCAGTTACAGGGGAACTGATGCCCTCTGTGGCCTCTGCAGACATTTGCATGTATGTTGTGCATGTGCGCGCACGCACACACACACACACACACACACACACACCTGAAATACGGAAAGCTTTAAAAAGATTAAGCATCACAAGCTATAGTTTGCTAACCCTAGACCCAACAAACTTTTGCATCTTTTTATTTTTATGATAATTCATGGCATAATTAATGAAAGTTGAGTATGCTTTATACATTTCTACTACTACAAAGAAAGATACAATGTTCCATCTTGATTCATATTATTACACTGCGGGTTTTAAATTATCTATAGAGTAAATTTCTAAAAGAGGAATTTCAGGTCCAAGGAATCTATATAATTATAATTTTTAAAATTTCCACATGCCAGCTGACCTATCTTATGATAATTCACCTGCAACATATGAAAGTGTGTTTGTCCACAAAATTTTTAAAAAAGAATGTACTATTGAAAACTAACATAATTATCTAGTATGTGATAAAGTGTATGTTATGATACGGTATTTTCTGATTTGTCTGTGATTCTCAAACTTTTTTATACAGGGTGGCAGTTGAAATTAAGTTTTTTTGTTATCATTATTTTGTTTTGCTTACATGAATGGGGCTTCTAGTTCTCCTTGTTTTTGCTGGATAATGGCTGGCTCTCTCCACTCTCTGCCTCCACCTTGTGGCCTTCTTCCCTCTTACAGCTCCTGTATTTTCATGTCCACCCCGTCACTTATATGGACACTGGTCATTCATTGTACTTCTGACATCCCGTTAACTCTCTGATCCACAGACATTTCATTTAAAGGCACAGTCTGCAGTTCTAGCTAAATAGAAAACTAGAAGACAAGAATCCAATCAACCACACACAGTCTATTCAAACGCATAAACTAATATAGACATACTTTCTTGTTGAATCATTCATGAAACATATTATCTTTGTCATCTTTGTATTAATCATTAATAAATTTACTTTTTAAGATATCTTATGGTTTTCCAGAGCCAAATTACTCACAAAAATGGCTGTATTTTTAAGATACTACATTCTACTAAGTGCATTTGCTGTTTCTCAGTCACCACTTTTAGTGGTTCCATATATTAGTTAAATAACTCCAAAAACTCACTGTGAAATAGTCCCAGTTTCTCTGGGACAATCAGAACTGATATTCTACCCTAGGTGTTCTCTGAAGATAACACTCTAAGCCTGTTTCTCATCAAATATTTTTGATATCTAACACTTTGTATATTCTTTTTAAAATATGTATTCTTGTTTTAATGTTTCCATTAATGTATTTATTTTACATACAGACTACAGACCCCCTCCTTCCATTTCACCCCTCACACAGACTATCCCCCCATACTTCCTTCCCCTTCTCCTGTGAGAAGGGGGAGGCCCGTCTGGGTACCAATCTACTGTGGCACAGCAAATCACAGGACTAAGAATATCCCCTTCTACTGAGGCCAGATAAGGCAGTCCAGTTAGGAAAACAGGATCCACAGCCAGGCAACAGAAATAGAGACAGCCCTAATCCAGTTGTTTGGGGCCCAGCATGAAGACCAAGCTGCACATCTGCTACATGTTAGTGAGCGGTGTAGGTCCAGCCTATGCTCTTTGGTTGGTGTTTCAGTCTCTGGAAGCCCTTACGGACTCCAACTGAGTTAGAGAGGAATCTACATCTGCCAACGACCTCCATAATATAAACTCCTATTTCCATTGCCTGTGTTCTCTGCAAAGCTTGTTTCCAGAACAAAGCAACACTTTCAGATGTAAAGAGTGGTCCCTCGAAATACCATAGTAGCTGTTCCTAATTTTCACCTTTATTTGAACTGATATGGGCAAGTGTCCTCTGTAGACCAGACAATTGGTGGTGAACAAGGTTTGTTTTAGAATACATGAGTTCATTTTCCAAATGTCTTGTCCTTCAAAGAAATGTAATTAAGAGCAGACTTAGCAATGCTGGAGATTTTTTTCAGGATTTAGGTAGACTCTAGAAATAAACTGCTACACATTCTGTTCAAATATGTTTGAAAATTATGGGATCAAGTTATAATTATGTTTCTCCAACTGAGCTTCAACCTCGTGGAAAGCAGATCTCCTCAGCTCCCAGAGAGGTTCTTGACATACTGTAGCAACTCGACAGGTACTTGATGAATAGATACATGCACATGACTGAAACCATCATGAGACTTACTAGAATTATCTGAATTTTCATATAGCTGATGTACAAAGTTTAAATCAATGACAAAACTACCTTGTCCTGTGGAATTTTCCCTATTACTAAAGTAAATTTAAGGTGTTTGAGAGAGTCTTGCAAGGAATTAGCATATTTCATCTACCTCTGCACTGATTCCTTATCTTAGCCAGTGGAGCAGAGAAAGCAGTCATTGCAGATAATGAATGTTTTTATTTTCATATCTGGAATGACATAAAAGGGCTCTAGGGAATCCACCGTGTGTTCTAGCAATATGTAGAAATGTAGGTTTCATCCCATAGGGATTTATTGCAAGAAATTGAGTAGAACACTGGAAAGGGACCTCCATGGCTGGTGGAAAGGTCTGAATAGCAGGTGGTTCTATGGGGTGGGGAGTTTATAAAAAAAAGAAAAGAAAAAGATGGATTTGTCTTGTTAATTGCTGCACCATCTCAGATGAGATAAAGTCTAATTATAAAAGCTGTTTGGAGTACTACACATCAAAACTATATTCAGGTCATGAATACCGTTTGCAAATGGTAGCTAACCTGCTCCACACTGCAAAATGTCTTGTTGCACATTAATCCCCAACGCCCTGCAACAATCTGAAAATGGCCAGATGTGTTTACAACCATGGCAGAGCTATGTCAACTTCTGATTCACGGTATTTTGTGTTAATGAATAAGTATTCTGTAAATGACTGTTCTCTTTGTATGTTTTGATCAGGGCTTCAAGGAACCCAGGAAATACATTGCTGCACAAGGTAATTCATTTTATATCTTGGAGTTTCTTTTAGAAACTTGCTTTATAGCACTTCTGAGGATTGTATAACTTGTACTTAACTCCTAGGGCCCCGGGATGAGACAGTTGATGACTTCTGGAGGATGATCTGGGAGCAAAAGGCCACAGTTATTGTCATGGTCACACGGTGTGAAGAAGGAAACAGGGTAAGAACACAGAAGGCTGGAGGTTGAGGGTAGGGAAAGATATGCTAAGCTGCATCTGGTATGATTTCTACAGGCAATTCTCTGTTTTAACCTTGTTAACATTTTATTTAATGTATGTTGAAAACCTACACACACACACACACACACACAGTTTGTGTAATATTTAAGTGAATTTATTTTGAAGCTCATATTTGGCATTGTTGTAAATTCCAAACATTGTGAGGTGACAACTGCACAAGTATTTGTGAATGGCCACAGCAAAAACTGATGTTGCATAGACAGTGGACACTCACATAATTCACTGTTGGGAGAAATAAAAGCCTATGGATTCCTGAGCCTGGAAGTAACCACTTGCAAGCATGTCGCTTGTGGTAATCATTTTTTCAGTCTCCTTGTGATAGCTGGCAAAGGCTGGAGAGATCATCCTTCTGTTGATTGGTTAAGAGAAGCTCATCCAGAAACACTAGTGAGAAATAGAACACATTTCATCAAAAGTTACACATGTTATTTGAAAAGTATGCAAGTGCTTGGGGAATATCAGTTGAATACATTCTTGGTCATTGGTGTTTTAGGAGTAAGCTGGAACTGTATTATAATAGACTGGAGTCATTATTGCTTCTTTTAAACTGTAGAACAAGTGTGCAGAATATTGGCCATGCATGGAGGAAGGTACTCGGGCTTTCAGAGATGTTGTTGTGACAATCAATGACCACAAACGATGTCCTGATTACATCATTCAGAAGCTGAACATTACACATGTGAGTTTATCTCATTCTGTAACTTTGGGCTTGGTATGGCTTTTTATAAGAGTAAAGCTAAGGAATGTAAAATGTGAGGAACTAAGACACATCTGGGAAAAATTATTTTTAATGATCTTGAGGCGAAAGAGCCAGGTTAAAACAACCATGAAAGCTAACAGGATCAAATTTTAATAGCTGATTGAGGCACTGTTTGTCTGCACCAATCACACTCTTCCATTGGTCCTTTGAAGTAGTAACAAATGGGTCCACAAGTTGTGCTTTGTCAGTGACAAGGTTGTTAAGTGGAAAAACAAACAATCCTGGTTGTGAGTAGTCTCTCTGAATAATGGATAGCATATTTTATGCATGAACATATTAAAACATACTGTTACAACTATACAGGAGAGAGAGAGAGAGTCGGGGTTGGGGGGGGAGACTACTAAGCTCAGCAAAGAAAGAGGACAGCATGGCTTTGGTAAGACTTGAAATGGAGGTCATCTCTTATTATGCAATTCAATTTTCAGGAAAATTCTAGATAGAACAGTCTGAGAATGCAAAACATAGATCAGTGGTTGCCTTAGGCTGAGGGTGTCAGAATGGGGAGTCAGATGGGTTCGTACTTTCACTTTATAGTGCCAAAATGCTCTACCATTACATAGTGTTGGGTTAGCACTCTGGATAACAACTGCACTTTAAATATGCGGAGTATTTGATTTACCATGTATACCCTAGTAATGCAATTGAAACTTGCACACTTTATCTGGGTTAAATATTTCTTTGATTCCTATTTTGGGAGGCTTTTGGTAATCTGAACTTTATTAGTACACGTTTTCTCCAGGAAAACAAATCAAATCAAATCAAATCAAACCAAAACAAAACAAAACAAAACAAAACAAAACAAAACAAACCAAACCAAACCAAACCAAACCAAAACAAAACAAAACAAAACAAAACAAAACAAAACAAAAAGCCAGATTTGCTAGGTATTTCTCCTAAAGTCTTCTTTGCTCTGATGGCATCTCTCCCTGCTCTGCTTTTGGGGTTGAACAATCCTGTCTAAAGCCAATAGAAAAATGCATACTTGGGAGGGATGCCATTGCATATATATGGGAGCTGTGTAGAGACCAAGGCCATCTACTCACTGTGATTAGTCTGAGGTATCTGTCCTAATGAACTTATATGTTGTCTATTGGAATGCTACAAAGAAAATATTATCTTACTATTTATATTTTGACAGGTGGTAATTCTCTGGGTGATAATCTATAGAACAGAAAACAAACCAAACAATTAATTATATGTCTCCATGTGGGAAATAGTTTTGCTTGCTGGGAAACCAAGTAGATAAATTCTAAAGAGCTATGTGGATGGAATTTACTCAGTATACAAACGTCCATCTACAACTCTCCATGTCTTAATTTTAGTTTTTTTCTTTAACTTTGACTTCATAGCACAGAAAGTCCAAGGAGTTTCTACTATACTTTATTTGCTCATTACTGGTTTACTGGGCTGTGCATGTGAGTCTTAGTGTGACTTCTCATGAACTGTTAGTAGTGGGAAGGGAAATTCAGTTCTAGAAAACCATGGTAGAGAGTGTCTGAGGCAAAGATTTGGAGATACTTACATGAGGAACATATTGTACAGGTCTACTTTTTTATATATTTATCTCACTAAATTTGCTTTGAAAGAAACTGTCTCAAAGAATGAATTATCTCTTGAGTAGAAAAAAGAAAAAGCAACTGGAAGAGAAGTGACTCATATTCAATTCACCAGCTGGCCAGACCATGGTGTTCCTGAAGACCCTCACCTACTCCTCAAACTTCGACGGAGAGTTAATGCTTTTAGTAACTTCTTCAGTGGTCCCATTGTGGTACACTGCAGGTAAAGATTGTAGGGCAAGTGGGCCTGTTGGACTGTCCTACCCTTTTGTTGGGCAGTTAGGGAAATCGTTATTGGCTTGTACTATTCTGTCAACAATCTGCTAGGATGAACTTATAATCATCTCTCAAACAGTTGTCTGATAAATTGACATTTTATAGCTGCATACATTTGTGGTGGTATAAAATGACATTATGCTTTGTCAATTAAATAGCAAGGGCCTAAAAGTAACTATGTAAATAATTCTTAAGATAAAATTGTCCTGTTGCCTCCCCTGATGGCAGTTCCACTTCTTACTTGTGAACATGTCTCATACATTTCTTCTATTTTTTAAGTGCACGCGTGTGCATTTGTATGTGTGTATGTGTCTTATGTGTGCCTGTGTGGTGGTAGTGGTTTTAGGATGGAGGAGAGCTTTATAGAGCTTTATGGATTCACTTCTTTCCTTCCACCTTTAAGTGGAATTCAGGGATGAAGTTTAAATCAACAGTCTTGTCGGTCAGGCTCCTCCACCCACTGAGACATCTGATATACCTCACACCTTTTCTGTTTGTTCCCTCAGTGCTGGTGTTGGCCGTACAGGCACCTACATTGGAATTGATGCCATGCTGGAAGGCCTGGAAGCAGAGGGCAAAGTGGATGTCTATGGTTATGTTGTCAAGCTAAGGCGACAGAGGTGTCTGATGGTGCAAGTGGAGGTACAGTCTTAGTTTACATGAATAGGCTCACTGTTATTTGAGTATTTAAATCATCTGGGGCAGTAGTGAGGATCTTGAAAGAAATGTGTATTATTTACTGATTCAAATGGTGGAAGAAGATGTCGTTTTAATTTCTGAAAGCTAAAATGTGCTAACTCTCATCAGCAGCACTTTGTACTTGTAGAACTACATAAATATAAGCAAGGTGAACTTCATATAATTCCCTAATATGAAGTCATTTGCATGATTAAGCTTGAAAAGATAGAACACAGCATTGGCAACTTTTCATAACACTGAGCAGATAGAATAGAATAGGGGATAAGAGTATCTTTTGTTTTCTTTACATTTTCAGACATGGCCAGTCTCACTCTGCAGTCCATATGGCCTTAAATTTGCAGCAGAAATCCTGCCTCAGCCTCTCAAGTGCTAGGCTAACACTACACCCTGCAAGAACCTGGCTCTTTGAACTAGAGCTCAGAAGTTCATTTTATGCACTGTTGGATTTTGTTTAATCTTTATATGCTTCAGATAAACCATTCATAAAATGGAATTAGTGCAGAGATAAAGTCAATATTTGTCTTGTATAACAACAAAAAAAGTTCAACATAGTTAAAAGGAAAATATAAGTTGAAGCACTTAGGCATCTTTGGGGGATGTGCTGTGGCATTTGGTAATTGGAAAAAATAGGTATTATAGAAAATGTCTGTTTGGCAACACTACATGTTTGTCTGTTCAAATAGCCATAATCAGAAACAGGTGCAGGAATGCTCCCTGGATTTTAATAGTTAGAATTACAAAATATTGGAAATGTTTTAAATACCTATCAGTGGGAAGTGGAAAATCACAACAAATTACTTATGGTGTTGAAGAGAACAATCTAGTGTGTGTATCTGTCTATGTGGTCAGATGAAAACATGGAACACACAAGGGAATCAATGTCAATAACATGCATGTACTTGTATGTCTGTAGAGAAACAGACATGAGTGCAGGTCTTGTCAAAATAGAATGATACTCAAGAATTAATCAGAATAAAAAGATATGCCAAACTAGATACAGTAGTTTAAAAGGCTTATCAGAATATATCTTTTCCTTAACAAGATTAAAAAAAAAAACGAACACAAATGAGCTAATGAAAACATTTGGAGTTGCTAAATTTCAGTTTGGCATACTAGATCTTAGTTTCCTCCAGTGGTAAAAATGCCATAAAAACTTTGAATACTGTTTTGTTCTACAGGGTATTTATCTGCTTTTCTAACATGTTTTGAAAGTTATTGTAGCTTTAGGTAATATTAATTTCAATTAATGGATGCTGTCTTAGAAAAAACACTTCTTTTCCTGGGATTGTTGTCTGAAATGCAATTTGTTCATACTCTAGAAAGTTGTGTCTCAGTTTCTAGAATATTTATATGTTATAGATATCATTATTCTTTTATTACACAGCTTCCCAATGTGTGAAAATTGAATGTATGCATATTTTAGTTAAATGTTGTATACAGGGCTCTACAGTACATTTTAGTTATGTGTATTGTTGTTTGACTTTTACAGGCACAGTACATCCTGATCCATCAGGCTTTAGTGGAATACAATCAGTTTGGGGAAACAGAAGTGAACTTGTCTGAGTTACATTCATATCTACAGAACATGAAGAAGAGAGATCCACCCAGTGACCCCTCTCCTCTGGAGGCCGAATACCAGGTAGCAATGGTCACAGCAATGTCAATCAGTATAAGTAATTTTAAGGAATGTGGATTATTTTTCAGGTCCTTGCCAGTACTTGGCTACAAGGGGTAGAATGCAGATGAGGAAGCTAAGACTCTATGAGTTTAAAAAAGTGCCTGTGTTTATGCAACAGTTATGTAAGAGGTTTGTTTAAATCTTGAGGTCTGAGTCTACAACTAATACTCTTGTTTCACTAAGCTTATATGAAAAGTGTCACAATAATCACAATAGCCACATAGTAGTCTGCCACAGGCAGTGTAACATCTCACCTTTAAATACTCCATCTGGTTTTGATTTCAAAGGAAATAATTAAAAGGATTTATGATAGATTATGTAGTTGAACTGGCTGGAGCTGGTAGACGGAACATAAAGGATTAGAATTTGCATCTCCATCTCTTTATTGATTCTGAAAGCCAACTGAGAATGAGTTTGAAGTGATTTCAGCGTGTTGATACAGCCATCCTCATACAACTTCATTGTCAAAAGTGGTGTGAATTTTCCCTTACCACCTGTAATTTCCAGTTTAGTGAGACTTTCAGTTTCATAAGAGATGCGATGTGCTTTTCTTTATCAGATGCAGGTCACTTGACTGGTTATGATAAAAGTAGGGCTGAGTTTGGAGGACAGCAGGCAGCATCTAATGATTCTGAGTATCACCATCTTCCAAAGACTTGACCTATAGTGAGTGACTAGTAGATAGAGAACAAGATTGAACATCAGGGAGCGTTAGAATTATTTTATTAACTTCTGACCTGACAAACTGACCATAAGCTCACTAAAGAACACATGAATACTTACTGTTTAGTGGTGCTGGTATATTTAAGGTAAACATTTGTATGTATAGTCACTAAAAGAAAGAGAGACTTATATTTCAACTGAGCAGGCATGATTAAATTTCTTATGGGTGCCAAGGACATTTGTAGACACAAGAGTCAAAATGCTTTCAAGTGAACATGGGAGAGGTCTGAACGAGTGTCATCCAGCATTCGCCAGCTATAACATGCAGAAACTGGAGATATTACTTCACTCAAGCAGATAGAAAGAGAATGAGGGTAGAGAAGCTGAGTGGCTGGTGCATGTGGTGATGGGGTGTCAGAAAGTGTAATTTTCTCTTTTATAGCTATATTTCCTTTTGTAATAACATATTGGAAATGTTTAATTGACAATAATTATACCTATTTGTGGGGAATAGTAGAATGTTCCAAAACACGTTTACTATACATGCTAATCAAATCAAAGTAACTGTCATTACATTAGTTCAACCTCAATTGCCTTTAATTTATGGAGGAATTGTGAAGCAAAGTCATGAGTGGAGAGTTAATGGAAACCAGAGGAACAAAGGCAATATAAATCTCAGTGTCTGAGGAAGAAGACAGTGTATGAAATAGTTAATTCAAAGTTAATAAGATGGTCAGAAGCTATTGTATGATCATTTGGTGTTTATGGTTATGAATTGAAAGAGTATCTTCTGGTGGTTCTAACTGAGATCTCTGGGAATAGAGATTATATAAATCCATGTAAGTCTGAAAAGTTTGGAAGAACAGCAAAGGAATTGAGGATCTTTTCAAGTGAATGTTTATAGCAGTGAATGACAACATATGAAGGGGTCACATAGAAATCAAGAAAGTCATAAGGACAGTATGCCAAAGACTTTTGTAAAAACACAAAGTTCTAGGAGAATGTTGCTAGAATAGATGACTAGGAATAAGGATAATTTTCAGTTACATGGATGAGTCAAGTCATTAGATTACACATGATGTCATGTTTGTAACAAAACAGACAAAGGTGGAATGGTGAGACTGGATGGGTGAGGAGTAGTAAGAGTGATCAGAAAGGGTGAGAAAGACATCAAGCTATAGAAAGGCTGCATAGATTGTGTCATCATTGTTGGCCTAACCAAGGAGGTGAGCATCTTGTGGGAAAGAGACAGTTACTACTCAGGCCGAAAAATAATAAAATCAGGTGATCCTCAAATTGGTAGCTGATGCCTCTGAGTGAATGGTAATGAATAATGAGTACTATAATATGGGGGAAAAAAAGGAAAATGAAAGTCACTGGGTTTTGTGAGTAAGAAATTATTATAAATGGCTTGCAAGTAGAAGGCAGAAGCAAAGAGAAATTTAATTCTTATTCAAATCATTAGGCAACAAAATGTAAGCTTGACAATGATTCAGCTTCTTGGTGGTATCAAGTGATATCTACTTGCTATAAAAGGAAATGGAAAGCGATTGCTAGGAGAACAGGATTAGGATGTAGTTTTGCTGAAGAGAGACTATGGACATAGAAAGTTGATAGAAAGGTATTTGCTGAGATACCACAGTGCTGATTTAGCCTTTCCTGTGTATAAAAGACCAGACTTCTGCTCACCTGACATAAGACACCCAAAGACACACCAAAGTCACAATTCCATTAGAGTTTAGTTTGAGTGACCAGGAAGTTTACTGGGTTTACTTGCAGAATATAGGTAAAGGGTTATTTATAATAGTAAAGGCATATCACATCAGATGGATCAATACAAAACTTTACACCATCATAGATAATGACCTCAGGAAAGCTGAGTCCCCTTTCAGCTAGCCCTCCATTTCTTATACACCCCAGCATTATACAAGACCATGTGCAGTTGGCCTGAGACCCTACTCTCACTTACTCTACTAAGAGGTGTCAGTAGCCTTGAAACCATGGACATAGCTATGACTGTCCTGTCCTGTACACTAATCACCTCTCTGAAAGGCTTAGATGTGGGCATTTGAAAGAAGCAGAGATTGAACCATAAATAATTCTCCATATTCCAATGATGGAAGCTACTAAATGCCTGATCAGTAAAAGAAAAGCTTCAGAGTCAAATTTAAAAACTGTGGACTCAGTTTTCTTTAAGGGACTGAACACTGAGAGTTTGACGATGCTCCAATGAGTGTGTGGGCAACACAAATTGGACTTGGTGTGATTTTTGGGGGGGGCACAAAGGTGGAAGGGAGGAAGGGTGGACCTAGAAGGAATAAGAAACAAGTGTGAAATTGCCAAAAAATAAATTGATTATGTTTGGAAAAAATTTAAAACAATCAAAAAAAAAAAACCTGTCACCCATGGGGAGTTACACAAATTTTACAGGCATTGATCATACACTTGTTTAAGAGATATCTCAGGCTACAATACTTTAGGAAATATTAGATTTTAAAGGCAGCTTTCTTCTTTGTTTTTCTTAGAGACTTCCTTCGTATAGGAGCTGGAGGACACAGCACATTGGAAATCAAGAAGAAAATAAAAAGAAAAACAGAAATTCTAATGTCATTCCATGTATGTAGTTGACTTTTATTTCTTGTATCAGATACAGTTAAGCCATTTTGGACTTAATGGAAGACATGGCTATGAAGCAACACGATTGACAATAGATAAATTTTTGAACATCTGGGTGGTGCATGGCTTTAGTCCCAGCACCTGGGAGACAGAGGCAGGAGAATATTTGTGGCTTTGAGTCCAGCCTGGTCTACAGAGTGAGTTCTGGGATAGTCAGAACTACACAGAAAAACTCTGTCTCATAAAGCCAAAAGAAAGAGAGGTGGGGAGAGAAAGAAAGAAATTAATTTGTGGGCTATCTAAAATTTAATTTTAGCAAATTATTTAGATCCCAAGTATTTTCAATTAACTTTAAAAGATGGACAGTATTTAGTGTGTCTACCAGTACCCCAACACAGGCACATTTGAAAAAAACAAAAAGCAGGTATAGGTTATAAGAAGAGGAAACCTCTGGGTTGGGGCAAAGAAAGGCTTAGTCTCCTTTGCTACTTTTATCTTACTTTTATCATATGTCAAAGTAATAGTCAAACAGCAGAGGTTTTAACAGGGTTGAGGAGAGCTGGAAAGGTTTGATAAACTGTCAATCATCAAATTTACCATATTGAAAATTTGAACAATTATTTTGCATTTTAATTCTATTTAAGAATACTGATGGGATCATACCTGGTGCTTCTTTTATTGCATCCAGTTGCATATACCAAAATTAGCATAGGTAAAATATAAGTCAAACTAATAAACAAGACAACCAGATAAGTCAAATCAATACGTGCTGACCTAGTTAATTCCTGCAAAAATCCTTGTTCATATACTGTTAAAATATGGAACTGATAGTAAAGTACATCACCGGCCAGGTTATTAGTGATTTAAAATATTGACGTACAAGGAATGATCTAGAAGTAGATAAAATTTGTATTAAAAAGAAATTATTCTGAAGGACGTACTTAGTAGAAAATTTTAATTTAATGTTAATTGAATAACATTGAAAACAAAAATCTAAGCTGCAAAGATTTTCAGTTATGTTAACCAGAACGGTGATGGTCCATGAAGAACTAAGGTGTTGTATGTAAAACATCATCCATCAGCTGGACTGTAATGTGCTATTTCTAAGACTTGGGATTTTATTACCATAATCATTTGGGTGCTTTCTTCTTTTTTTTGACTTTCATAACTAATTTTAATCATTAAATGCTGAATTTTATCTAGACTTTTATTGTAGTTAGATCAGTTCATTTAATTCTGAATTTCCTCTTCATTTCTATGTGACTGTCAGTAGGAAATGTGATTCCTTTGTATTTGAGTTTTCAATTAAGCCCAGGAATGTGGCCATTCCAAGCATATTGTCCTTAGGTGAGCTCAGTCCTCAGCTCTGAGGACTTCTTTGGTAGGACTTGCTGCTGTTTCTTTTCCATAGATGACTTTAACAGAGTGCCGCTTAAGCATGAACTGGAGATGAGCAAAGAGAGTGAGCCTGAATCAGATGAGTCTTCAGATGATGACAGTGACTCAGAAGAAACCAGCAAATACATTAATGCATCATTTGTGATGGTAGGTACACACACTCCAAAATCAGGCTCTGACCCTTTTGAGATTATGACTGTGTTATGGCTATTTCTTAGGCAATATTATACATAGATAAGGAGCTCAATAACAATCACATATTCATAGGTGCAAAAGTTTCACCTGGTAATATCATTTTAAACTTATCAAACTACCTAAAGGGGTTAAAATGTAATCATTTGATTTAGAACAATGCAGTGCTATTGCTTGTATTTTATGTTAAACATTTTGACATACAAGTCTTAATCACAAAATTACAATAAATACAACTATTAGAAAGTATTAGCTATTCAAATCAGCTCACTTAAACTTATATGATGATACAGTGAAGCTTTTTCACTCAGATAACTAGATTAGTTAGATTTTTGGAATCACCCTAGCACTGATCTTGTTAATCTTGATAGTCACATGTCAGGATTTTTGAACATTTCTCAGAAGAATTTATATCATAAAATATTTGGGGGTTAAAATCAAAACCAAAACCCCCAATACCAAAACACAAAACAAACAAAAACACAAAAAAGTAAATAAGGAATTTAGTAAAGATTTACAAGCTCAGCTGGACTTATTTCTTCTCTAGATCTTCCTGCAACTCATACTTTAGAAAGTATTAGCTTAATTACATTATGTCAGGAGAAAACCTATAGATGCAAGTTAAAATAGATCAATGATAAGAATAATTTTTGTATGATTACATTAATTCATTTTCACAATTAAAATAATTAATAGAGAAAAGATTTTTTAGAAAAAATATTTTTGACAGGTAGCATTGCATGTTGTAACTGTAATTTCACATCATTAGGTGAGGATGAAATAATTTATGTCAAGACACTGAGTTTATCTTGGTCTTCAGAATCTTAACTTTGTCTATTAATGGCAATGATACCAAATCAACTATTTTTTTTCTAAAAGTTTAAGAGGCTATTGCTTTTTCTCTGATGGTAGCAGTAACAAATTCCATGTTTGTGATTTTTCAGAGTTACTGGAAACCAGAAATGATGATTGCTGCTCAGGGACCACTAAAAGAAACTATTGGTGACTTTTGGCAGATGATATTTCAAAGAAAAGTCAAGGTTATTGTGATGTTGACAGAGTTAATGAATGGAGATCAGGTTTGTGCCTTGTGAAGAACGTTGCTTTAAAAAACCTTTGACCATGCAGTGCCATTCTCTGTTTTTCGATGCTCTCTATGTTTGATTCCTCTGGTACACAGTCCACCTTATTAGTGCCCCAGGGATCTTTAACAGATTGGCTTAATTGTTATATGTTTGGGTTCTGACATTTTCTCAGTGCCTGGGCATGTGGAAGGGGGAATCTACATGGTGGAAGGTTTTATCTTTCACTTTTCTCCTATATTCATGTGTAGAAATCCACTTTCTATTCTGGACAAATATGGTTACATTCAGAGCCTTTTCCATTCTGAACAAATATGGTTATATTCAGAGCCTTGGCACCCCCTCCCCACCCTGTATTCTCAATACACAAATATCCCATGTACTTAAATGACTCTTCTCTGTGACTCCTAACTCCATTCGTCTAGGGAGACAAAACTCTTTGAAATTTTCAGCTATATCTTTCCTTCTTCATTCCCATGCGATGTTATTGCCACAAAATTTTGTAATTAGTGATAAACGTAAGATGTACGTTTACTTCCTAATTAATCCATGTGACATATGTTTGATATTTTCCTTAGTACCCTGAAATACCATGAAATTCCCAATGGTAGATCACTTAATAGGATTTTAGTTCTGACATATGGTAAGTGAAATACTCATAAGCATGCACCATCATCCATTACTGTCTCTCTCTTCCTTTCCCCTTTCTCTGCTTCTACTTCTCTCCCCTACAGATTCCTTCTGCTGAGTTTCCTTTTTTCTCTCATCTCTGTCTCTGCCTTTCATCCCTCACCCTCTTGTCTCTTGTCAACGGCTCTGTGCACTGTCAGCAATTATACGATGCTAGTTTGTAGAGACCTCTGGTTCCCTTACTCTCCAGCAAGATCCTCTACTTTCATGCTGCCTCAATGTAGCTTCTCATAGAGTTGGCCATCAAGACACTGGGTGAAATTTTGCATCAACACAAAGTCTGTTCTCAAGGACTGGTTGTGGAATAGCGGAGCCCAGGTTGTTGGAAGAGTCATGGCTGGTATCAGCTGATTCTATAGATTATCAAGAAGTTGGATCATCAGGGTTTAAAAAGAGAGACAAATTCCAAAGACCTCTTCCAGAGATGATAAAACTACTCTTGGATTATCCTGGTAATTTCCAGACAGCCACCATGCAGTAAAAATTCTTCACTGTATTTTTGAAGTAGATTTTAGATTTTTATAAATGTTTCAATTATTTTAGAATACAGTATTTTCTATTTAGTACAAAAATAGGAGGTAGGAAGAGAGAAAGGGTTCTGAATACTTTAAAGAACAAAGTCAACACCTAGGTAAAACATGGTAAGTAGTGTTATTTTTTTTTAACCTAGGAAGTCTGTGCTCAGTACTGGGGAGAAGGAAAACAGACTTATGGTGACATGGAAGTGGAGTTGAAAGACACAAACAAATCCTCAGCCTACACTCTCCGAACATTTGAATTGAGACATTCCAAGGTAGGTGAACACTTAGAAAGCATTTTCGGTTTCAAAATTATGATGTAATTATCATGTAATCAATATGATAGCAAATTAATATAAACTGTTGTGTATCTTCAAGACCACAGTCTTTATAATGGTTCAGAATAAAAATGGTATGTCATTTGAATGAAAGCAACTGTAATAACAAAAAAGCAGCTATCAAAGTTATACTGAACTTGGCTGAAGTTCATTTGAGCTAATGTTCACTTCACCTCTGATTGCAGAGGAAGGAGCCCAGAACTGTGTACCAATACCAGTATACCACATGGAAAGGGGAAGAACTCCCTGCAGAACCCAAAGAACTGGTGTCTATGATTCAGAACATCAAACAGAAGCTTCCCAGGAGTTCCCCAGAAGGGATGAAGTATCACAAGCATGCACCAGTCCTCATCCACTGCAGGTCAGGAAGCTGATGGGATGTGCTCTAAAGTTTGCAGGCTTCATCTTCATTTCTACTGAACTGAGGAGGGCATCCTAATATGTAGATGGTGTGGCCCAGTGAAAATCCCCATGAAGCAATTTACTCTCATGTTATTTGTATGCAGTATGACTACAATAATAATATAAACAATGAAGGTTATAAAGCAATGATTTTAGGCTGGTAGATGCTTAATATCATTTGATGTCGTCTTTGACTCTGCCTTGCCCAGCATTAGACCTGCAATGCTATTTATGGTAAATGAGTGTGTGAAAACCGGAAATATGTATAAATGGGTTGGCTGATGGATTCCATTGTGGATAGACTTCTGTGTATTGCATTCACTTTACTGGATATTACAAAACCTGATGGCTGAATAGTTTGCTTCCAGTAGATATACGTTAAGCTACTTATTTGTAAACTTTAATGAAATTGTGTGTGTGCGTGTGTGTGTGTGTGTGTGTGTGTGTGTGTGTGTATACAGACCATGCTATACATGAGAAGGTCAGAGAACAGGTGTGAGAACCCCGTCCTTCCAGTCACCACTGGAATCTAAGAATCAACTCAGGTCACTAGAACTGGGCACAGGCACCCTTATTTGCTGAGCCAGTCCAAGCACCCTTAACTTGAACAGGAACTGAAATTTCATTGCTTGGCAGCTTGACTTGAAACCCACTTCTGAGTTGATTCTCCAAAGTACTCTCACAAATAATATTTAATTTCATCAGCCTTTGCTGCGGAGACACTTAGGTGTCACTTGTAGCAGACACTCACATAACCTCCTTAAGACATATTGAAAAAGAGGTATAATATGAAAAGTCTACAGAAAAGGAATATTAAAATTTATCAAAATTTAAAAAGTTCTAATGTAACATGAGCACTGTAAGTCTGAAGAAATGCTTTTAGAAGTTGTGAAAGTCCTCACTAATGTCACCAAAGATAAAGAAGTAAGTTCCCATGGGCATCCTTTTTTCCAGGGTTATTTGCACTTTTAAATGTGAAATTTACATGAAAGGAAAACTGATGAACAGAAGCTTAGGTTTGAATTTATTGCTTAAGGTATAACTGTGTGTTTCTCCATGAAGTCTAATACAGAGCACCTGTTGATTTCATGAGGGTTAAAATAAAGCCATATTGAGTTTTTCACCCTTAATTTTTTTCCTCCTGTGGTTTATAAATTACAAATTATTTGGATGTCATTGCTTTAGTGAATAACTCTGTCAAGCACCATTTTCCCATTGATGTAAAAGTAGAGCACTGTTAAGAAATGGCGAGAGAAGCAGAGTAGGGAGCGATGGAGGGCTAATCCTTGGGTGTTATCTGTTTCTGGACATGTTCTGATGCTTCCTGTTTCTAAGTTTCCTCATCTGTCAAATCGAGCATAGTATATTAATCCTAACAACTGAGGGCCTGAGGACATCAGTAAAGGTGCATTTAAAAACACAAAGCAATAAATGGAAGAAAGTATGCTCTTAAAGCCGAATTTATGTCTCATTAAGCCGCAGAACCAGCAAGCCATAGTCATGTATTGGAAAAGTCTGTCCCTAAATGCATTCATAGAAACTAATTTGACCTTTAAAAAATGAGAGCAAGATGCATATAGTAGATGTGAAATTAAAAGAAAAACCACATCCCATCTCTCTGTGTTTGTGCTAGTAGCCCTTCCTCTATAAAACAATGAGTTATTTCATTTTCTACTTAAAAAAAAATCCCTTGTTCTTTTGGCAGAGATGGATCCCAGCAGACGGGGTTTTTCTGTGCCTTGTTCAATCTCTTGGAAAGTGCAGAAACAGAAGATGTTATTGATGTTTTTCAAGTGGCAAAGTCTCTACGCAAAGCAAGGCCGGGAATGGTTGGCAGTTTTGTAAGTGTCCCTCGCTATCACTTTCAAGTTTTCTGTGTTTCCATGTGGGCACTTCACCTTCTCCTCCCCTCCCATTTCCTTCCCTTCCCATCTCTTCTCTGTCTTTCTGATTTGCCACTCATTTTTACATCCTAATCCTCAATGAAGGTTGATCAATACAGATAAGACCTTATTAGAGTTTGTTGTCAGCTTGTTGTGACAGGGCACATGGTCACATCCTTTGATGTTCACTCGTCAACTAGTCTTATTGCATAACAAACCAGTCCCAAATTTAGTGTCTTCAATAACATGACTGTATTTCAGTGATAGTCTGTCGATCTACTCGCAAGGCATAGTCAATGAGATCCAGGTTTACATGTCTACTGTCAGCTGATATACCTACTTAGGTCTGGCTGGCCTAAAATAATCTCTGCTGCCAGTAAATTGGCAAGTGGCTGCCATTTACTTTTGACAATAGGAATGAGTAGCCAGTGGCCATGTGTCACTGCTCATTAAAGCTTATACGAGGGCAGAGCATCAAGAACACAGGCAGAATGAGGTGTGCCACCTCTTGAAGTCCAGGACTAGAACTGTCACAATTTGGCTTCCAACTAAACCAATCCTAAGGCTGGTTCAGAATCAAGAGGCCAGCAGTTTACAGCACAAAGAGTTGTGTGTTCAATGGAAAGCAGTCCGCATTACATTTATGCACCCAGTGTAGCCTCTGTCTGCAGCAATAACATAGTCGGACATCAGTCATTTAGTAATTATTCTCAATGCAGTTTCTCACAGAAGTATACTAAGCTTTCATGTACACATGACTTGAGTTTCCAGGGATGGAGTTTTAAAAAGTATCTGAATTCCTGATAAATGCATTAGCTGTAAAGAGACTCAAAGGCAAATAAGTATTAAAAAGTCAAATACCTGAAATGGAAGAAAGTGTAGGAGGGTGACTGGGAATGCTTCACTTTGATCAATGGGGATTTTTGTAAGCTTCTTGAAAGAATTGATTGCTGCTTGCATTCATAAATGATATGTGCACATTAACTAGGAACACAGGCACAAAAGTAACATTTTGGCAGAGGTCTGGGCTCAGCTGTCACACGATGTGTTGCGGGGAGTTACCTGGTTGGTGATACTCATAAGGTACCATGCATCTGATTCTAGGGAATGTTAGGTCAGTTAGAAAGCTTCTGATGAGAACATGTCAGAAAATATGTTCTAGACTTGCAAAAGGAAATGGTTAGTGCTTGGACATCTCTTCTGGACAGAAAAACTTTCTCCATGTAAGTTCATGCTGCTTTCTTTCACCAGGAGCAATACCAGTTCCTCTATGACATCATTGCCAGCATCTATCCAGCCCAGAATGGACAAGTGAAGAAAACAAACAGCCAAGACAAAATTGAATTTCATAATGAAGTGGATGGAGCCAAGCAGGATGCTAACTGTGTCCATCCGGCTGGTCCTCTGAACAAAGCCCAGGAAGAAAAGAGAGAGGTTGAAGCTTCAGAGCCTGCCAATGCTGAGGAGCCAGAACATTCTGCAAATGGTCCTGCGAGCCCAGCTCTAGCCCAGAGTTCATAGGATAGAATTCAAGCGGGACAGCACAAAATCTCAAATTAGTTGTTTCTATTTTTCTAGACCTAATGAAAGAAAATGGCTGTGCAGTGGTTCATGGAATCTGTATTCACCTTTGCCACTGTATAAAACATATTTAAGTTTGTCAAAACATTGTGTACAGTTTTATGCTTATTTTAAAAATGTATCTATATCATTCAGCAAGAATGTGTGTATGTGAGAGAGGATGTCTGTGTGTGAGAGAGGGTGTGTATGTGTGAGTGACTCAGCGTGTGTGTGTGTGTGTGTGTGTGTGTGTGTGTGCGTGCATGTGTGTGTGTAAGAGAGACATCTAAATGTGATTATAGAGTACTTTCAGCCCATTCTAAATGCTTTTGGGAAACAGTGCCTTTTTCTCCTCCTGAAGAAACTATACATTTTCTATCTAAACTGTTAATTTGTTTGCAGAACTCATTTTTTAAAATCCCATTGAATGTGGATTCAGTTGTAAGAATAACAATGTGTACCTTTCTAGAATGACCTCAAGATGTCCTCCTTGTCCTACTGAAGATCTTGTAGTTTAAGATGTTATTTCTGGAGATACATAAAAGTCTGTAAGCATGCTATGAGTGTGTACAGCTGCTCGAGGGAAGTGAAATAAATTAACATGTGAGACTTACGTTCCTCATACTGTCATTTCATCACTATCTCTTAATACATAATTAATCAAACATAAAAATCTCAAAGGAGCCTATTTTTGTATCCACTTGGGAAGTGGAACTTTGCAAGTCGGTTACTGTCTACACAATAGATGAAAATTACTATCTAATGTTCTTGATCATATCGATATATGTTATGAATCTAAATAATTGTCCTTAACTGAGAATAATGTATGTTAAAAATCCATAGGATAAAAACAGGGGCATAAAAATTGCTTGTACTGAATATTTACATAGATGACCTCATATAGTTCTCTTATGGAATTCAGCATTCATGAGAAACATAAAATTGAATATGGCTGTTTCCTATGTTTAAGACCATCTTTGACTTTCATTAATGTGCATTTATCTTGAATTTCTTAACTGTTTAGTTTACTCGTGCCTAGACATAGCATTGATTACCATAATAAACTTTCAACTATTACCTTCCTTGCTTATGTGGCTTGTGTTACATGTTTGTAATTGACAGTGAAACAACTTCTTCTTCAAGCTGAGATTAGTTTTCCTGTCTTGTTCATTGGTGAGAAAAATGAAGAATGGTCATTTACGGGCATCAGAAGGGGATAAAGAGGACTCTGTTTTCTCAGATTTCAATCTCATGTCACCTGGTAAAGGTCCTGTTGCTCTTTGCTGGAAAACATTGTGGACATTTGCAGTTCTGATGCCGAAGTAACTTCTGGGTGGTTTTTATGCTGATTTTTGAGTTGTTTCAGAATGCTGACAGTTTTCAATGATATCTATTGGAACACAATTCTACTACTGTTTACTTAGTAGCATATTTGTAATGGCATCAAGCTGTATTACTTTGAACTCTAGGAAAACAGTGTGGGAAGGCTGATCTACATTTTGCTCACGTGTTAAGTTTTCTACCAAGGATATGGAGCATTCATGAAATGTGAAGTTATTCAACTTATAAAACATTTTTAGGACTTTTAAAAATAAAGTATAAAATTATTTGAAAATCACGTATTATAATTGTTTCTTTAGAGATTTCAACTGCACCTAACAACATCCAACTTGGATGGTGTGTTAAAAATGCATATTTTCCTCTTGAGGCTATTCATTTTAATACACAAAATAAATACTTGGAAAATAGAGCCAGGGAAACTTGGAATAATATAAAATGCAAGCTAGGAGCAATTGTCTTTTGCAAATGGGTTGCTGTGACCAAGGAATGGGAAAATAGTGGCTCAAAGGCTAGTTGTTCTGTGAGAATGAACACGAAATGAAAGGAGAGACTTGTGTAATAGAGGATTGAATTCCAACTTTGATTTCTAGCTAAAAAATAAAAAAAAAAGAAAAAAAAAGAAAAGAAATGTATATGTGGACTCCAAAGCCATGCCTTTGGCCATTGGTTATATTCATAAGAAACATGAAATTGACTTTTCTGAAGTTAATTGTCACTATTACAAATTCTAAGACCTTGCCAGGGAAACAACAACAATACAAAAAACAAGAGTTCCTACCTTTAAAAATGCCTAGTCCCTTTCTGGGCTACACTACTGAGAGCCCTGTTGTATTTTTGCTAGGCAGAAGGAGAATGCTTTCTTTTCACTGTTTATTTCTGTCATCAGAATTCATTGGGAATAAATGATTCATTGAGTAACCTTAAAATTCAACACTCCATAATTTTGTATGTAAGCGAACCACACGTAGCTGTAGACAGGAGATATGCATTTTCATGCCTTCTTGCAAGACTTAAACTGTGGGAAGTCATCAGCCAAAAATATCTTCGCAATGTAATTTCAAAAATATAAGCTTCTGAGGTTGGGTAGATGCCTAGTGGGTTGAGTGCTTGTTCACAGGTAGAAAGACCTGAGTTCATTTCCCAAACACACACAGAAAGCTTACTGGACAGGTGGAAGCAGCACCAAATGCCCAGGGTGAGTAACCTGTGGATACTGGAAAACAGAGGGCCAAAATGGTAGAGAGAATCTGGTTCAAGAAAGTAAAGAAGAGAACTAACTGAGAAAGATATCCTGACACCAACCTCTGGCTACCTCATGTGTCCTTACAGGTGAGCAGGTGAGTACTTTCTTGTTGCTGTCTATGTATATACAACACACAGACACACACTGACATGCAGACACACATATACACACCACAATAAAAATGCTCAAGTTTATGTATGTAACTATAATACGTGATTGATGTAATACTTTTATTCACTTGCCTTAATCCCCCTATAATATTGAAATTTTTATTGTGCCTGAGAGCCAACTAGCATACATATTATTTTTGATTATTTTATTTATCAGGCATTTGTTATAAAATATCTCATTGTGTCATGATAACTGCAAATGAGTAAGCAGTCATTTTCCAAGAAGTCCTTGAAACAGGCAACATCCACAGACATGAGTACCAGTGATAACTAGTCTCATGATTATATCTTTCATTCTCTCCTATATAGTCTACAACTGGACTGATATGAAATTATTTCAAAGAGAAACAGTCAAACCTGGCTGTTTAATTTCATGTTATAAATAGACACACACACAGAGACACACGTACGCACACACGGATATACACCCCTAATAACTTTGACCTGAAAGAACAGCAGGCCTCTTTCACTTAAAAGAAAAGTACACTTAACTATAATTTTTAACTTTAGAAAAACATCACACCTATCATCTTCAGACATAAATTTCCTTACTAGAAGGAATATCCTAAGCTGAAATCATTAATTGAAAATAAATGAGTAAGCATGTGAAAATAAAAACTTATAAAAGCCATTCTGATCCTGTATTATTATTTATAAATTAAACTATTTTATAACTGATATTTGAGACATAGATGCTATTTTCTCTATTTGTTTCTATAGACAAATTTTGCACCATATGTGTACTTTTTGTTTTTATTTCCTAGATGGGAACTGAGCCTTTGACAAGTTCATTCCCCGGTGTTGCATTAACCCCGCCCTGGCCGGCATCCGAGCCTGGTCTTCACTCTTCAGTTTATCAATGCCTTGCCAGTGAGAATGACAGCTTCAATTTACCTTCCTGTTTTTATTGATTTCATTATCCAAACAAAACTGTAACATGCGTCCTCCACCAAGCTACGAAAGATACTAAGCTTAGTTGAGCTCATCCACAAAATTGAAGTTTTGGACGGATACACACACACACACACACACACACACACACACACCATACACTCAGATGTCTATGGGAAATTTTGTTCCCATGATACATGTAAACAAATGTTGCCCCATCATTAAAGTGAGTGTCAGGGAATAATATTAATCACAAGTGCTACCATTTCATTACCGTATCATTTGGACATCAGATATTTTTATTGTTTAGTTCAGTGGCTCTCAACCTTCTTAATGCTGTGACCCTTTAATACAGTTTCCAATATTGTGGTGACCCCCAATGATAAAATTATTTTTGTTGCTACCCCATAACTAATTTTGTTATGTTGTGGATCATAGTGTAAATATCTGTGTTTTCCAAAAGTCTGGGGCAATCCCTGTGAAAAGGTCATTTGGCTCCCAAGGGGATCACAACCGTAAGTTGAGAGCCTTTAGTTTACAGCATATTTTTTTCTTTGTTTGTTTGTCAGCTATTTATCAACCAGCATTTAAAACTAGTGACCAGGTGCAGCATAACACACAAGCCAGGTTTATACAAAGTGAGTCTCATTCACTCTATCTGGGGCTCCAGGGGGCTAAGAACCTAGGTGCATCTGAACTTCCAAGGCCAGGGAAGTTGGATGGATTTTCAGTGCAAAACAACACATGAGCAATAGCAAAATGGCCTAGTGGGTCAGGGCACTTGCTAGTGAGTCTAAAGACCCTAAAGACCCAAGGTTAACCCCTAGAATCAAGATGGTCTATCCTCTGACCTGCACACATACAGCATTACATTTATACAGCTTCACATGGTCTCTCCACACTAACCAACTAAACCAAATGAGCTTCCCTGGTTCATTTACGTTCCTCTCTTTTGCAGTATTAAAATTTGGATATTTAATATAGCTATGTATTCTGGGGAAGGAAGACTTACAGGACTGAATAATATTTATCTTATGTAGGAGTCAAATCAGATTCAAAGAACCTGGTGTCCTATCAAAGAACAGAAATATAGTCTTAGGGATTTTGTGCTTGTTTGTTTGAGTTTTAGGTTGTAGGCAGATGTAGTGACTCATTCTTATAACCTCAACATTTGGGAAGCTGAACAATCTTGTATTTTTCACCAGCCTGTGCTAAAAACTAAATAACAGGTTGAGTAACCTTACATGTTTTTTTAATGCATCCTATGTAAAGTGAGAAAGTAAGTCCTGCACAGTCTGGCCACCTGTTCCCACTGGCTAATTCAGGCTGAAAGCAGTGTATCCTCACAGTGTTCTTAGACTGAAATCTCGAAGTAATGGGTAGCAATTCAGATATTTCATCCATTCATGTTATAATGACCACTGTAGATTGCAAATCAGGGATTTTGCTATACACAATAAGTTATAAAAATGGAAAATGCGTTATTATAGACATTGACATGTTTTACAAAGGAGTTTCCATTTATATTTAATTACATTTTCTGTTGCATTCATTACTTAAAGATAGAGATAGAAAAATGAAAATGCGAAAGATTGGAAGCCAAAATCATTTGATATTTTCGTCATAATTAGAGAAAGTAAAACAGCTGAACTGTTTCAGTGGCCATCTGGTGTCTGCTTTAAGTTAGAGTTGACTTTGCCAGTGATTTACCCAGAGTTTCCCCACACCTGTGGTGCCTCCTCTTAAACAGTAGCAGGGTCGTTAGCTGTATCACAAGCCTCTGAAAATGTTGAAATCATCGTTTGAGTCATCCACTTTAAGGCTACCAAGGAGTTCTCTCATGTATGTGTTCTGATACGGTTGCCAAACCTTTACCACCTATTGGGCTTTGTCTCACTTGCTGACTTTGAACTTCCATTCCTAAGGTCCCTTGCAGCAGCTTAAAATCCCAAATGAGATCATCTCCATTTTGAAGGACAAGTGTCCTATGAAGTGTGTCTACGTAACTTTCATATATAGAGAACAATTGCTGTTCAATTCCTGCATCCTGTGGCTTGATGTCCCATCTGTGGCGTGATACTGTAAACCACAGATTAGGTTTCTCAGGCTTCCTCTGCACTGATCTGCTGCTTCTCATCGGGACTCGCAGTCAGCTTAAGTCTTATAAAAAGATTTATGCAAACCAAGTTAGTTTTGTACATAAAACACGCTTTGCCAGATTTCTCTTCACTCCAATTATGGATGCCAATGTTCTCTTTAATGAGACTCTGAGAAATACAGTTTCCTTCTTTCATAAGATAGCAAAGATATTTGCCCACAACACTTGTTCAAAAAAATGCCCAGAACTTTTACAAAGCTCAATTTATTCAAGTCAATTACAATTCAGAAACATTAGTTACAACATCTCATGAAATCTTCTGCTACAATTTTCATAGTGTATTTTAACCCAAGGTCCTGTAGTCACTTAAGGAACACAAATTTCAGAAATAAAATGAACTTGATATAATGTTAAAAAAAGAAAGAAAAATTTAAAAGTATTACAGATGGTACACATTTTCGAACACTTTTGATTTAGTACAACCGTGTGTATATTTATAGTACAGGGCATCTTTTAAGGAATTTGTGACATGTATTTTTGAAATTACATATAGTTATTATAATTGTTACAAATGTTTCTAAGTTAATTTTTTTGTTTTGTTTGTTTTTGGAGTTTTTTGTTTTTTTTTTTCATTTTTTTAATTGGATATTTTATTTACATTTCATGTGTAATCCCCTTTATTTTTTTTTTT